CCTCAAGCTTAACTCCGTTTTTTTATTTAAATACACCTGAATTCATAGACAGTATATGTTACAGTCGAGGTCGCTCCAGTAGCCTGTTTCTAAAGAAAGTTTCGTTATCGACTGACATTAAGAGTAACCTTTAAGTAGAGTGAACTCGTCGGCGGTCAACGGTCACGTTCATTTGGTCCAGTTTAGTGTTAAATGGAACAAGATCAAAGATATATACAATAATTACTACTTGTATGATAATTATTAAATTATTTATAATTGTTTCACTTCAATGTCGCAAAATGAATGTGATTTTCCGACTGTTTCATAATATTTGAGACTAAATATGTTTTACATTCAGTTATAACGATTAATACTTGTAATTTAACAATATACAAAATGTAACAACTTAGACCTTGTTTCGGGATGCATTTTGAGTGTATAACATGTTTTCATTAAAATTTCTTAAATACTGCTTCCAGTCAACAAGCGCTGTTTTGAGATGAATATTTATTCCCAGATTTTATGATACGTCAAAAAACATAAAGTATTCAAATGCAATGAACACACTGGTCTTAGACGCTTAATATACTCATCATAATTGTTGAATTAAATAGAAATAATCATTATTTCTAATAGTAGCGTTATATATGTATATACGGTTATACAGTGAATATTAAAGTAAATGAGATTTTCATTAATTGAATTTCATTAAACGTTAGAACTTGGTTAGTTGTTATTAAAATGATACAAATATTGAAAAGTGCAAAAAAAGCAGCATCAATTGTAAACACATACATATTTTATTGATTAATGAAATTAACATAATTTTGGAGGAATTTTTATCTTTTGAATAAATGTATAAGTAATGTGTTAGAACGCAAAGTCGACTTCCATCACTACTATGACTCGGAGTCATATATAAAGATGGTTCACAGCGCGGACAGGCATTGGAAAAAGTTCGCTAAGAAACGTCAAATTATTATTTGTCAAAAATGAAATCTTTTGTAAGTTGAATATCTTTTTTTTTTGATAATTTATATTATTTAAAATTTACAAAGGAACTAAAATCTTTAATTCTTTTTTAATTAAACTCATAAATATAAAAATTAAAAATTATATCCTCGTATGTTTATAGATCGTAGTATGCTGCCTGTTCTCGTGCGCCCTCGCCGGCGTGGCCCGTGAGAAGCGCGGCTTCCTGAGCGGCCTCCACTCCTCGGACGTGTACAGCGGCTACTCCGCTCCCATCATCAGCCTCTCGGAGCCCGTCCTCGGCTACTCCGCGCCCGCTGCCAAACTCGTCCGCGTCAACAAAGTGGTCAACTCTCACCGCGTCGTGGACGTGCCTCAAGTAGTGAACGTCCGCAAGGTGGTGTCCGTGCCTCAAGTGGTGTCCGTCAACAAGCTGGTGGCCGCTCCCAGCTACAGCTCCTACGGCGGCGGACTGGGGCTGGCTTCAGGCTGGGAACAATCATACTCTAGCGGGTGGTGATCATACTACCATGACGAGAACATCTAGTCCTTACGTTTAAAAATCATTTCAAGGAAATTGTAATATTATTTGTATTTATTGTAAATAAATATTTTTTTAGGCATTTGGGTCTTTTAATATTTGTGTTATCTTATATTATATTTAGTAAATTAATTAGTTAGTAAATATTATGACTTACATATATACATATGTTGTCGCAAATCTGACAGTCTAAAAGTTTGCCAAGTAATTATTCCTTTTATTTATTTTTTTTTACTTTTATATAATCTCAAACTATCATTAAAAATGTCTAGGTTTGCTTTACGCTCAATATCATTATAACATTTAATGATTCTACTTATCGGCGCAGCTTGGTCTGAATTGGTCCTAGAAAATCTACTTTTAAAAGTGTAGTATGTTGTATGTCTGGCATTTTGTCTCGGAACTACAACATTAATTCGATTTAATAGATCAGAACAGTCGATAGCATCGGATATAATTCTATGAAAGGAACACAGGTCCAGCATATCTCTGCGATCTTTTAAAGAAAGTGCACTATAGTTTGCAAGTATAGTCTTGTCATTTTCGTTCTGTAAATTATTTTTATCAATAAAGAATAACTATCGTAAAAATTTCTTAAATATTCTTTCTATTCTATCGTTATGGACATTATAATATGGATTCCAAGTAGTTGAACAGTACTAGAGTACTAGAGTTTTTATAGGTGGTAGAGCCTAGCTGTAGTTAATGACTACAGCTCGAACATGGGCTGGCTCGACCGGGGAAGTACTACCCTCTCACAGAAGATCGGCGTGAAGTAGCCTCTAATGGCTGCGTTTCGTCTGATGAGTGAGAGAGCCGGTTGCCCTTTCCCTATTCCCACCCTTTCCTACCATTTCCTCATTCCCACCCCTCCCTATCCCTAAAAAACAAGGTTGGCAACGCATCCGCATCGAGATGTTGCGGATGTCAATGGGCGACGGTAACCACCTTCCATCAAGTGGGCCGTCTGCTCGTCTGACATCTTTCACATAAAAAAAAAAACAACTAGAACTTACTGCAACCTAAATAATCAAACAACAACTGCCGTGTGTACGTACTCTTAAATTTTTTTGTGTTCTTAATTATGAAGCCTATGGACTTGAAAGACTTATTAACAATATCGTCGATATGTGGAATGAAACTCAGTTTGGAGTCCATTATAATACCGAGATCACGAAACTGCGTTACACTTTCAAGAACGTTGCCATCGATATTGTAACAAAATGGTGTGTTAAAAGTTTTTTACTGAATGTAATACTTTTACATTTTTTACTATTAAGCTTCATATCATTTTGTTTACACCATATTGTTAACCTATCTAGAGCCTGCTGTAACTGTATCGAGTCATCTGGCCCATCAATTTCTGAATAAAATTTGAGATCATCGGCGTACAACTGAAATCCACTATAATGAAAACAAGTGGCAACATCATTAATAAAAATATTATATATATTATAAGTAAAGGGGAATGGAGATAAAGCTTAAATTGTTGAACTTCAGATGTATGTTAGCCTGAGAAGCCGGGAAGTACCCGATACCTAATAACTCCATCGTCATAATGACAATAACACCTGATATAAGTTTTTTATATGAATGCCATCGCTATCCAACAGTATAGAGTAGTTATTATGAAGAGTAGATTACACTCAAGAGTTTGAGGTTGTAGCCTAGCACAGCCGTAACGAGCTATCGCTGGCTCCTTCACGACGGGAATGTGATAAGTGGTTACATTAGAGTGACGGACAACCGGTGTGTAGCTAGTCGGAGTGGATATTTCTTGATTTCGGCATCAGAAACGAACCTATTTACTGAGGTGGTCTACCACTAGGCTCTAGCCTAACAGTGGTCATGTAACTCCACCTCGAACATAGGGAAGTGCCACCCTCTTACAGAAGATCGGCGTGAAGTCGTCTTTAATGACTGTGGTTCGTTATATGAGTGAGACGGTTGCCCTTTCTCTGTTCCCACCTTTCCTGTTATTTTCTTATTATTAGTAAGTGGTGTATTTTTGGTATTTTAGTCTATTTATAATGGTAATATTGCTTGGAAGGCTCTCCATTCTAAAACGGTATTTATAATTTTTCATATGAAATTAATATTGAAACATTAAAAGTTTTGAATGACGTTTCCTACTAATACGAGTATCATATATGCAAAAACACTTTAAAAGTTTTTGTTATAAATATATATGTAGTAACACCTGCATTGTCAATTTTCTTCCGGATAACTATGAGATATTGTAATAACTTGTATTTAGAAAGGTGTTTCAAAGTTAATCATTAGTAATTTCAAAACTGCATCCACTTATCATAAAAGACGTAAAATATTATCATAGATCCTGAACACATAATAATTAATGACAGCACAGACAACATCACTCGTACTAAAATACAAAATCAGTTAGTCTAACATTCTTACTTATTCATGAAAATGCCCAACTTGACGCATAAATTGGTTAAGTGGTATTTTTTTGGGAAAAAGATTTATAAAAAAAAAATAACAAATATAAAAAATAACCTACTTCGGCCACCTTTACTTTCAAACCTTTCAAAATTTAAAATACAGTTAAAAATTTTGTAATATGATAACAATTGATGTCCATTGCTTTAGGAGTTACAGTTAATCACTTTTCTTTAGTTTATGAGGTCGGACTGGCTCAAGGCAAAGAAGGAATCAGATAAGTACGCAGACAATATTAATTTAATTTACTAGTAGGTATAGTTTCTTGAGGTAACTTTTGAGAACTGTTGTTATGATTTTTCCACGGCAAGAATTTTGTACTTATTCTTTTAAACAAAAAATCATAAATATATCTGTTTTTGGTTTAGCATTCGAACAGTTGTACATATCGATTTCGCGACTCATATACGTACATACGTTAAGAAACTGTCAGCAATGAAGCTATAGATACTGTATACATAGTATGCAGCTAATAGCTTCAATTATTATTTATATCTGTGTTGTTCTACATCTTAGTACACAATATTTATTTTAAAAGGAAAGTGTGTTAACTATACTCTATTAGTACTGATACTGCCGTTCAAATTCCGATGTAGAATACTATAAGCCTGTCCCACAAAGAAGTTACAGTAAAAATAAAAAATTTAATTAAATTTGTAATTTAATAATTGGCAAATATCAGTTAGCTTATAGATAAAAGAAAACTATTATTTGAACCAAGCGGTCTTGTCAATCAATATGTAGAATCAAGGAAACTAAATGTAAATTCCAGACTTGCAAGTCAAACAATAGAAAATATATGTTTTTATATTTTAATTTGTGTCCTGCACTCGATTTCACAAGTTCTATTAATAATAAAAATAGCATATACTAAATATTTTCAGTGCTTACAGAAGTAGAATAAAGTTGGGTTTGAGGTTTTCCAGTGAAATAAAATATTCGTATTAACAAAAAATATTGTTTATTTTGGAGTATATTATAAATACTTTGTAGAAAAATAAAAGAAATCTAAAGCTTAATAACATTCTATAGCTTCAGAATATGATCACCACCAGCCGCTGGAGTATCCGTGGCCGGAGCTGTATCCTCCGTATCCAGAGCCGTGACCCAAACTGGAACCGTATCCAGAGCTGAAGCCGCCGCCGTACGAGCTGTAGCTGGGAGCGGCCACGATCTTATTGACGGACACCACTTGAGGCACGGACACCACCTTGCGGACGTTCACTACTTGAGGCACGTCCACGACGCGGTGAGAGTTGACCACTTTGTTGACGGTGATGACTTTAGCGGCGGGAGCGGAGTAGCCGTATCCTCCACTGTATCCCCCGATGCTTCCCCCGTACCCTCCATATCCGTGTCCGATTGAACCACCACTGTAACCTCCGAGGCCGCTGTACCCGCCGCTGTACCCGCCAACAGAGTGTATGCCGCTGAGGAAACCACGCTTCTCGCGTACGTTCTCAGCTACGGCACATGCCACCAGGGCGCAGACTACGATCTGTTATAACATACAATAGTTAATATCGCTTCAATAAATTAAAACTATACTGTAAGGCGATCAGGACAAACATTGACCATAACCATATAACGTAGTGGTAGGGGCCTGGAGGTTAAAGGCCCGCTTCTCGTGTACGAGGGCTCGGGTTTGAACCTGGCAAGTACCAATGGATTTTTTCCGAGTTATATGTATGTTTTTTTTAAGAGTGTTCAGATACCACTAACAGATGGTGAAGGAAAACATCGTGAGGATAACTGGATTCTAGATTATAATTTGAAATTATAAGTTTGAAATCACCAATCCGTCTTGAGCAAGCGTGGTAATTAATGCTTAAACTTTTTCCATGTGAGAAGAGCTCAGCAGTGCTTAACAGTGGACTCGGATAGGATGATGATAAAAATATATTCCTTACGAGCCAGGACCTCAAACGATGATTAAATGAATTGGGGCTTTTCCACTTGAGGTTCACCGTTGTTATAATTGGAAAGGAGTTCGGTTTACTTGGTTACATATATTGGATGTTGCAATACAATGAGTAGTTGCGGTTCGAAACAGTAATTATACTGAATATTTCATAAATATAATAAATATTACAAGTTATATGACTTACGAAGGTCCTCATGTTGTTATGTTCGGCTTGTGTTGTCGAATGCTAGTCTGCTCTCATTTCTCCAATATATACACCAGTCGAGCGATGGTTGCGCAACTCATCCTCGACCACATCCTAAAACGTCATTTTGCAAATTCATTTTTAACGTAAGGTTTTTATATTTTTTAGTCCAAAATAATTTAATATTAGCATTCAGTATAAGATCACAGATGAGGTCGTAAATATATATTTCAAGGCGGCGATGTGACTAACATCTTAATTTTCATATACATAATGATATTTTTAACACTGTTTTTTAATATATAGTATAATTGCATGTGTGTTTATGTTTTTTACTATGACAAAGTTTTTCAGACTGCTAATACATTCTTAGAACTCTATCACTGTCCGTCACGTCAAAGAGGAAGTTTCAGTTTTTAACCACCGTTTATTCAAGGTGTTCGCATGATTATAATTTAGTTTATATCGTTAGATTTCTTTTAGTTGCTTCAGTGTCGTCATATATGTTGGAAAATTTTAGAAATTGCCACAATGAAAAGATAATTTTAAGGATGACTATCTAGTAGTTGTCAATGTTTCAGAGTCAGAATATAAAATGCAATTATGTATGATGGTAAATTGATTTATAAATAATAAAATTGAACGTTAGGAATCCTCATACCTCCTGATTGTATAAAGAAAACTCAAATCAAAATGTTTATATGAATTTCTTTCTTATTATTGATAAAAGTAGGATGTTCTATAATAACTTACTTTTATTGTTTTCATCGTACAGACGGCAACATTGTTCTTTGTATTATCTGTATATCTTGTAAGGAATATATTTCAAAACTTTTAATCAGGTTGTTACATAAACCTTGATAGAATGTTCTAGACAGGCCTCCGGGGGTGACTGTACGTAAAGATAAGAATGACTACAATAATATAAAGGAAATGTTTTGATACGTGCCCTGTTTATGCATTAAAACTTTTTACATAAAAGCGTTTATTTCATTTCCCAGTTTTATAAATCTTTAAAAAGATAATCTCTATAGAAGGTATTAAGTAATAAGGTTCTTCATATAAAGAAAGCTCACATAAAACCTGCCGAAGCTGACCCCAAGAGGAAGTGGGTCATCACATAATGTTCGTTATCAAATAATTATGAACCTTAATGAATACATTATGTTGAGGTTAGATGAAGAGCGGCACAAGGTGACGGTCAGCGAACAACAGACGGTCCTTCATACATATGAATGGTTTGAACACTATACATAAATAAACATTTAATAATAGACAATTTGTCAAAGGAACTTTTAGTATTTTAATATTTCTGTAGTATATTTAATGTAGTGTATATAAGGAGTTGAATGTTTCATATTGAACTTATGAACCGGCTTAAATATTGAAATGTTAGGGTCAGCTTCTTTAAAAATAATATCTAGAGCAGTCGTTGTTTATAATTATTTTTAAGATTTTCATAACTAGTCGAAGGTTCTTTATAATAGTAGTAATATATTATATGAATGTGTTCAAGAAATAATGTTATTAATTTAAACAGTCAAAGTTACGTCGTAGATCCAGGACGCGCGAGTAGTTAACAATATTAACAAGTTATTAAATATAATCGAGGAAAATTCCGATATGAAGTAAGTTCAGTGGTTTATTATCAAAATTGTGACACAAATGACGACATATGGAGCTGGTTACAGTAACAGTTAGTCGTCTTGAAAGTAAACGCTGCTAATTATATCAACACAAGTAGCGGTGACCAAGCGGCGGCGGGACGGTGCACGGACGCGACGCTCCCTCGGTACTTGAAACACTTTTACCAACAGAGTGAATTATTGACAAATAACGACTCATATATATGAAAAAATATTTTAATGTAGACTATCTCTTATTATGAGTATTGATCAATATGTAGAGTGAATGGACTACAGAGAGGTTACAGAGTTTGTAGATCGTATTGTTTTATGTATATAAATTCGTATTATTTTTATTTGAGTATTAAAAATAAAACAGATTAAGATGACGTGTATTGTGTGGTTAGTGTCAGTGAATAGAGTTAGAGGCAAATATTGTTTATATTATAAATGTTGCGAAAAATATATTTAGGAGATATTATAAAAAAAAGCTTTTTCATTTACACTAACCAAGGATGATATTAAAATTTTAATATTTATTTTGCAAATGAATATAATAAATGACGATTAAATGTAAGAGGTTTATCAAAATAAGATGACTTAAAAATAAGGTGAAATATTTATGTTTAATAAGAATTTTTATTTTTATTTTCATACAAACCTTAGTAATCTTTAAAATCAGATTAATGTATTAACGTATTATTAATGAAAATTAATATTTTTTTTAATTCTAGTGATCTATTTATTACTTAATATAAAAGCATTCGTCCACACGCGCTGGGTTTAAATGATCATTGTACTTAGTATATGTTCTCATCGTCACACTTTTAACGAGGAGTTTCACGTTTCCCCTTTAATAACCTACATTAATACTGTTAAAGCTACGTAAGCATCGTGACGATACTGACTTATATGAAGGGTGCACACACGTTAAACACTTGCCTTACTTATTTTTTATTAAACATACAAAAACCTTATAAATTATTAATGAATCTTTATAACATTAAATGTTTCCATCCGTGTGACATTTGTTACGTAGTATTATGAAATATATACTAACGAGTAAGGCAGTGAATGATCACTGATTAATATTAATATTAAGAACCTTATTAATTATTATTATCAATTTGTCATTCTACCAGCTTACAAATGTTTTTTTTTATTAATATATTGTTATGATGTGTGGAGGGCGATCATCTCACACAACCTTGACCGAGTAAATGATTAAAACTCGTCCAAGGTCAGTGACCGCTCCTCACACGCCCCGCTGACTACAGACACATAGAAAACTTACTTTCTTTAGTTAAAAGCAAAAATATACAAGCTTTAATATATTTTGAAACTTATTGTGTACTCTGAAATTATTTCGTTTCGTTATAATATTTAACGGATTTATTCTGACATATAACGTCTGATTTAGTAAAACTTTGCTTTATATAAGTGCGATTTTTAGATGAATCGTAATATTTCATCTTCACAACACCACTGTATGTCAAATATTACAAAATATAACAAATGCTTGACATTTGTTGATTTTATTATTAAATTACTTGTTACGTTGCAACGGTCTTTAATTAAATGTTTTAATTAAGTTTTATGACTGTAATGTTTCATGAATGGTCATATAAATAGTATATCAATACATTATTTTGTGTTTGTACTATAATATAATTAAGGAAACGACGGTGTCATAAAAAATAAATCTTTATTATGTTAACAAAAAGTTAAATAATTAACAATAACATCTGGTATTGACTAGATCCTCTTCACCACCCGCTCCCGTAGCCAGTCCCCGCTCCGTACTGGCTCGCGTACCGACCGCCGCTCTGGTTGGGGACAGAGACCACCTTCTTCAAGGACACCACTTGAGGTACTTCGATGACTTTTTGTACATTCACTACTTGAGGCACGGTGACTACTTTCTTTACTTTCACGACTTTATTAACAGTGACCACGCGAGAAGACACCGCTGGCTGCAACTGCTGGTAGCTGACGGCCGGTCTACTGTAGCTTACAGCTGGTCCATTGGAATATAGACCTGATGATGCGGCAGCGTAGGAGACTGACGAAGCAGCAGGGGCGGAGTAAGAGATTGAAGGAGAGGAATAGGATGCTAAAGAAGGAGCAGAGTAAGCTACTGAAGAAGCTACTGGGGCTGAATAGGAAACTGCAGAGGGAGAGTAAGAGACTGCAGGAGCAGAGTAGGACACTGAAGAGGCAGCAGGTAAGGAGTAAGATACTGGAAGGGCAGCGGGAGCTGGGTAAGAGATAGCAGGAGAAGAGTAAGAGACTGACTGAGCAGATGGAGCGGAATAGGAGACGGCAGGGGCGGAGTAGGAGACCGGGGACAGAGAGGGAGATGCATAGGAAATAGGAGAAGAATAAGAGACCGCGGGACTAGCATAGGACACAGCTGGAGCAAGAGATAATGAAGGAACGGAGGACACTACGGGAGAGGAGTGAGAGAGTGAGGAAGAGGAGTAAGAGAGACCAGAAGAGGATTGGGATAGTGAAGGAACACTGGCATATGATGCGACCGGAGCGGAGTAGCTTACAGCGGGGACAGCAGCTGAGGCGTATCTCGCTGGTGCAGGGTAGCTGTACCCCTGAGAGACACTGGAGACTCCGTTGGCATTATGGAGACCGTGGAGGTAACCTCTCTTAACACGAATATTGTCAGAAGTGACGCAAGCCACGACGGCGAGAAATAGAACCTGTAATGAGATAATATAAATTAGAAACCATTACACGATTATAGGTATGTTATTGCATGATTATAAAATGGAAATATTCATATAAATGTTAAAAATTGTAAAACTTACAAAAGTATTCATGATGTCTTGAAGATGTTCGCCAGATGAGTGATGTCCCTTACAGCCCCCTAACCGTTTTTATAGTTATAAATATATACGATGTCGTAAGCGCGTCCTCGTACTAACCTTCTTAAATTTAATTAATGTATGTATGATTTTTCAAAATATTTGTCGTAAGGCCTATTAGAAACCGACTCATTTAAATGATGCCTCATTATTTATGTAAACGTGTTGTAAATTAATAGTTTCATAATCATATTTTGAGCCCATAACCTGACATTATATAATATTGATATAATTTCTGCCCTTTGAATACTTTTAATTTAAAACTATAAGTACTTAAAAAAGGGAAGCATCTCAATTCCTTTGAACAATTTTTAAAATAAATCCCAAAGAGGCATTTGGAGATATTCTCAATTAAAACACTGATTAAAATCCCATTCAATTCTATACTCACTCATCATGGTTCATCAGGTAATAGAAAATTACAAGAGTCCTTATGAATATACATATTTCAAATCAATATTGTAATGTGCATTTCTTTCCCAACTAATATCAAGCGTCAAGTGGCTCATAGTTATCATACACTGGTAGTAACTAACAGTATTAATAAGTAGTTATTATAATATATTTGAGTGATTGATGTTTATTAACGACCCGATGGTGTTGAATATCTCTAGTCCTTAATTTATGTTCACGATGACTGATGACTTCACTTCCTTGGTTCAACGTAATCACACTGAAGTCAAAATAAACCTAGAAGCAGTGTAACATTAGAGTAGATGTAAATCTAGGCTTCATGATTTTATAAGACAAAATTTGATGATGACAAAATCTGGAACCAATTAAACAATGATACAAAGATATTTTTGTCTCCTTCCTTTTTATTATTTAAATGTATTTTTATAAAAAACAGATTCGTTAAATATTAATTTTCTCCTCTTTAGTTATAGGTATTATCTGTGATTCTCTCCTTCTTTCATTTTCTTATTATGTTTTAATAACACACACTTACTGTCATGTTGCCAAGTCGTTTTAGTACAGCTCCAGAAGTAACATGATTACTTTAATTGTGATGTAGACATCATATAATTTAGTATTTCCATCAAAAGAAAGTTCTTAAATATTACGTACTGAAACAACCTAACTTTTGTTGAAACTTAATTCCAAAATAACTTATACAAATATATATTACAGATCTTAAACTAGTTCTGTTACCAGGATTATGTTTTCACCAGGTCCTCACTGAAGGACATCACACACAGACACACAATATGTCATAATTACAATCATTATATCATTTCACGCATGGTTCATATACCGCGACATTTTAGTTTCACAAACATACCTAAGTCAATTTGTTGGTCATAACTTTTAATTAATTCATTAAAAAGTCAATCAGTATAATTTTACGACTGATCTTCTCAGACAAGATGACATCACCCTCCATGTGTTACATTTGATATTTTTTCTTATGGTTGGAGATTGTATATAAAAAATTGAAATTATTTTTCTATATATGATAAAGGGGGCAAATGAGCAGGTAGTAACGTCGCCTATTGACATTCGCAAAAGAATTTTCGCTCATCGCACGAAACGCAGCCATTAAAGGCTACCAACCAACCAACCAACCCGTCGAGCTAACCCGTGTTCGAGCTGCAGTAATTTAACCACAGCTAGTCTTCATCAGCTACAGAATAATTTAATTCCATCAATTTTTTGTTTAAGAAAACATGGACAGATCAATGATATTACAATACAAATATTTTTTAGGTCATACTTTAAAAAGGAACGTCTTTGAAGATGTCAATTTAGTATTTAAATAATTTATTAACTTTTTAATTTCTACGCACAAAATATTTTAAGTATTGAAATAAAACTATTATTTTTTGGGATTAACTACGGGTTTATAATTATGTATAACTACATACTTTGACGTTTGTGGTCCCGAGCAGACGTTGTCAGAGATTCTCATTTCGTCTAGGTTTGTTCACAGTTGCTGCGAACTAACCGAAACATCAGGATTAAAATATTTTAGGGATTTCTAGTTGCAAATAAGTGGTGACAACATCTTTATAGTTGAATAAAAAAGAAATCATCATGTCTCAAAGGGCCAAACTAGTAGATGACCGAATGGGAAGTAGTTACCGTCACACATCTTCTTCTTCTTCTACCTGGCAATTTCCCAGCTATAGCCAGGGTTTGCCTTACATGTTGTGAAAAGTTTTTGGCTATTTGTTTTTACGACCGGCCGCCTGCCTGACATCGACCCTCTTTTTAGGAATCAACATTAATCAGTGATGTCTAAATACTCTTAGAAAGTACATATGATTCGGAAAAATCACATTGGTACTTGCCCGGGCCAGGATCGAACCCGCGCCCTCGGCGACGAGAGGCGGGCCCTTTAACCACTGAGCCACCACTGACTTAGTTACCGTCACCCATAGACATCTGCAACTTAAGAGGTATTGTAGATGCGTTGCCGACCTTGTTTGTGGAGTAGCTACCTAAACATAGATCTTTAATGTTCATGATAGATGTTGCAAAGACCGCAAAAGCTTTATACAAATGAATATTTTCTCTTTATATTAGAGTCCTTCCCTTTTTTATTTTACCAATAAATATATATATGTTGATTTACTAATAACTTATTGACGATGTAATTCTGAGCCGATATAATGAAACATGATTAATTAATCAGTATTCAGGAGAAGCTAAACAACATTGATTGACTATATCCACACATGAACAGAATTAAAATTTGAAAGGAGAAAACACGCGGGCTAAGAGTAGTCTTAATTTATATCAAATTATTTATAGAGTTGTATTTGTAAACAGTAATTACGTATGAGTCAGTGTGGGGTGATGTTGGACGGCTGCAGCGGGTCCGGTGTATAATGTAGGTACACACTACGACGACTGAAACAGGTATTTAGTTGTTGTGCAAATACGATCCAGATTGTACGTTAAATATCAGATGCTGAACTAAATATTGTATGTTATATAATAGTATTATTTATTGGTTTGGTATTACACGGTGTGACGTAACACTGTACCTGTACAGGCGGTGGGGTTATATATGGTGTAGTATGAATCATTCAAAAACATGATGGAAAAAATGACAAAAATACAAAATTTGAAAAAATCGTTGTTTAATCATTTGTATGTAAAAATATACATTTTCTGCATCAAGCTTTGTAACTTTGAAGCTATCTGCTTGCGATATGATAGGATCCATTTTCATCTTTTTAATTTATTTATTTTATAAATATTTTATATCTTTATATTATATTCTTTTTTGAAGTTAGCGCAAATTAACTCTTTATTTTCACTTCTGTTATGGGAAATTCCCATTCCATATGTTTAGTAAATTATAAAAATAGTACATAAAATAAATGTTTCTCTGTATGCAATATATGAAGAAGGTTTCTTTATATTAAAATGCTTAAATGCAATGATATACAACAATCAAAGCTTGATATAGTTAAACAATAAGTATGATAAGAACCTTATTAACAGTCTGTAACTGTGTGTTAATATAGTTGTGCAACACGAGCCAGGTAAATGTATTTACAACTTCCTGACTTTTATTATTTAAAGGAAATTATAATACACATAGGGTAATTACTCGTTCAGGTCAACTTGAACATTTGGAAACGTGTTCATGTATTATAATTATGTTTGTGAGGATGGATGTTGTTCTTTCACCAAATAATTGTAATGAAACTTTACAATATTTAGCAAATATCAGAACAAGATATAAGATATACAGGGTGACTGGTGAATTACTATCAATATTTAAGGAGCATACTCGGTACATGATTCTCATTCGAATTATGTAAAAAAAATAGGTATTTAATTTTTGACCAAATTTCCGTATAAATAAATAAAGTGTAGACACGTTCCAAGTGTTCCAAGTGTGGACGCGTGCGGCGGCGTGCTGATACAACACCACGCCGCGCGCGCGCGCGCGTGTGTGTGTGTGTATACCTAATCTGTAGGGTGTACACACGATGCGTAATTAATTACATAACTTTTGGTTAACTTTACTTAGAAGTTTATTAATATTTATGTCATATTAATTTTTATTTTGTCATATATGATCGTCAAATATCACATCCTCAAGTATCGATAGTAATTCACCAGTCACCCTTTATATCTTCCGAAATTTGTTTTAGGATGGTCACTATATCTATAATTTAACACTCCTCATACATTCCGAAGTCTATTTAGACAAAGTTGCAAGCAAAAACTAGAGTTCTTTTAAACATGCTTGTGCTTATTCAGTAATTTGAGAATAAGTACTTAAAAACAAGTAACTCCGGCAACCAGTAACCGGTAACAGAACAGACACAGGACTAAACCACAAACCTCATTCACTTTCAACCTATAGTACCAGAAGTCACACTAGCAATGATTGGTCTAGATTAATATACATAGTAACATAATGCAAGTACATTAAATATAATGTGACAGAATACACTTGTTGTTAAGAATAAAACGGGACGAAAAAAGACGTGTTCATTGATAGAGAAATAAAATAATTTCGTATAATGATGCAGAAGGAAACAATTTTATTAATATATAAATAACTGTATTACAAGAACCAGTGATTAATCAATATTAATGACTTTATATATTGTAGATGTTATTAAATAATTTGTTCTTTAACGATCTCTGCTGTAATTATGTAAAATATTCTTAGTCTCAGCAACAAGGAATTATTATTGATCACTTCATGATCTTAAATTGATTGACGAAGGACCATTATACGAGTTACAAACAATCAATTTAAAAAACATGAAACTGATCTATTAATCTTGTAATCCTTCGTTTTGATATGAAAGTTAAATTTATGAGAATACTTACATCACACTACAGCTGTTAGTTAGTTGATAAAGAAACTGGAATAATATGTTCCGGAGCTTGGAGGTGGGAATCCTGTCCTGGCCCATGAAATGTTCATTCTATATATTCTAACTTGATTTTTAATTATATGTATACATATGTTATAATGATTTGTTTCTTAACAGGATTTGTGTTAAAGTCAGCAACCGTATTTACTTAAATTTTATGCGTTATCAGTAAGTTTGCAAAAATTAATATACCGTCTATCTGAATGTAGTCAAGTCAAACTGTAAAAGTGCGTAGTTTGTATCAGTTTATTAATCACAGCATCCACTTTCACACAATTTGTTCGACTTAGTGTTTAAGTCTTCATGGAGGCTATACTAGCCGGTGTTGGTGTACGTTAGGATAGCCATAATAAATAATACAACTTAAATATTGACAGCGATACAGAAATTAAAGTAACTCTCAGTACTCGAGTCTTACGATGACGCCGTGGAAGAAGACGGATTTACAACATTTGTCATCACAAAAAAACAGAAACAGAACAATGTACATAGTTGTAACACAAAAAAAATTCTTTGAGAAATATCGATGTTTTTTGAAATATTTTAGTATATAAAATGGTAATGAAATAGTTATATTATATATTTATAGTTATCAAAGTCGATTAAAAATAAATGGTTGCTTAGATATACTTTCAATTTCAGTTGTTTTATCGATTCAAGTGTAGACAGTGGATATTAATAGTGTAGTGCAACATTGTGATTTAGGTTATAAATATATATAGACTGACGGGATAGAATCAGCAAGTAATGAATTCAAAGTATATTCTAACTAATAATATTATTAAAACTTGTTAATTAATAGTTATTTCAGGAGTTTAGCAGAATCTGTGAAGCGTGGAACAACTGAAGGCGACCGATACATGGAAGTGTTGTAATAATTACTATATAATAAATATTAATATGGCGCAATATACATACATGTTTAATGTCAATATTAAAAAACTAGTTTTAAATATCTATTAATATTTTTATTTTGAAACACTAGATCGTGTAACCTGTAACAAATGTAACAGATCTAGGTTGCTCACTAAATAAATATTGACGAGTGATATACAAGCTACAGAAGATAACACCCAGATCATAAATATAGTATGGTACGGTCTCTCATTATATATTCCGACGTTTGGTTTGCAACTAATGTTTATGAACACTTAATAATAATGAACTGTTCTTTACATCTTTATTGGTACACAAAATATCAATGGACAATTTGGTCAAGTACACGTCACTTTTACTTTAAAAAGTTAAATGTTTAAATATCATCATGATGAGGCTATCAGAGCCCACTGCTGAGCTGCCTCTTTCTCACATAGAGAAGGTTTGAGCATTAATCACCACATTTGCTCAAGACGAGTTGGTGATTTGAAACTTCTAATTTGAAATTATAAATCCAGGTTTCTTCACGATGTTTTTTTCACAGTCGGTCAGTGATGTCTAAATACTCTTAGTCACTAAATAATAATTGACTGTTTGATAGAAACAATAGGTAGAAGTAAAGTTTTATTGTTGTATCACAGTTGTTAATACAATAGAATAATATATTTAAAAGTATCACAAGGACATGGTTTCAGTTTACCAGCCCTTCCAGCCACTGTTCCAGCCTTTGTTCCAACCATTGTTCCAGCCGCTATTAAAACCACGGTTCCAGCCACCGTAGCCGCTGTTCTAGCCTCCTCCATACGAGTAAGAGGCCTTTGTTCAGCAGTGGGCTCTGATAGGATGATGATAAAGATGAAAGCAACTCCAGTATTTCGGCTTGATAATAGATACTTTCTTAATCTCATCTCCTCGAGGGAAACGTAAAAACAAGAACTCGCCAAGACTCTCAATACTTTTTATTTTTTAACAATACATTGCAAAGAAGGCCACTCTTATAAAATTAAGAATATTTTAGGGGTGATCGTTTCCTGCGCCTATAGAGGCGTGACCCGGGCTCTGTTAATACTTTTAACATTTTAAAATGCATGAGATTATAGAATCTATGAGACAACTTACTCTCGTACAGCCTCTCTGTGTTATCGATAGGGATTCTAAAGTAAGGTTCAAAGTACATAATAATTATTATACACATATATCGGTTGTATTTCATGTATCATGCAAATACATAAAGAGGTGAAACTTCCTAGCATTTAATTGAAGCACCTTTCAGGTTTCGGGTCCATCGTTGCAGTGAGAGGAGCTTCAACAGTGACTGGGACTTGCGACCCAGGTGTAGGTTTAAGGGGCCTCTATCTAACGCGCGTTAAACGCTCACCTCCACTATCGAAGCTCCTCTCTCTACTAAATTCGAAAAGAACCTACTAGGGTTTCCTTCAAAGCACGTTAAAAAATTAATTTATACTAGTTTTAGTTCAAAAAGCTACGACGAACCTATTTCGAGTAAGTGAGTGAGTAATTTTAAAGTATTGATTTATATGTAGTGCTCAAATGTTAGATAACTAGTGTTAAGACAACAAGTAAAGTGATATAACTAGTGTTAAGAATGTTTTACAATTTGATGTATTTTATTTATCTATATTATTAACTTTTTGCCTTCATCGGTATAATATTAATAAAGATTGTTTATTTATAACAAATGTGAAGTTGTAATCTGATCCGCTGTGTTATTAGTCAGTTATCATTAAACTAACAGTCAAAATCAACATCGACCTCCACACACACTCGAAGGTTCCAAACTTATGAGAAATTAACATCATTTAAAATTCACAAACAAACTTTGATAATTTGCGATTTAATGTGGAATGTGATTTGATTTATTGAAAGACCTCGTCCTTTGTTGTGTCGTCTTAATGCCTCGTATTATAAGGCAGTGTTCTCGTGACAGGCCTCTGTTCTATATAAACCACAGGACACAACTCACATGTACAATATTTGATCACTGTGACTGTGAATGCGTCTGCTTCTCCTACAACATGAAACTCTTTGTAAGTATTCAGTTCATATAAATGTGTTTGCGAGGTGACAAAGAGATATGTCTCTTGTATAGACTCCTTTAATTCTAAACAATGTTTTATTCTAGGTGTGTATAGTCATGTTCGTGGTATCATTGAGCGCCGTGTCTGCTGGCTACCTCCGCAGTGGCTGGTCTTCTCCCAGTTACAGTTACAGTGTTCCTTTAGTGTACTCCCGCCCTTACTCGTACGGCGGAGGCTGGAATAGTGGATACGGTGGTTGGAACAGCGGCTATGGCGGCTGGAACCGTGGTTGGAACAAAGGTTGGAACAACGGCTGGAACAATGGCTGGAACAGCGGCTGGAAGGGCTGGTGATCTAACACTTTAGTCTTTCTAAATTACCATTTTTGTTTCTTTTTTTGCAAGACCATGTGATACTTTTTAATATATTATTCTACTGTTTAAACAACTGTGATACAAAAATAAACTTTACTACTATTAATCGTTTTTTTCTAATTGTTATTTAACAATTATTCAAAAGAGTTAAATGTTTAATGTTATGATAACTTTGATAACGAGTATATGAATTTTATGTTAAATCACACTATTACTGTTTTTGAAGATGATTATAAAACGCATGAAAGGTACCGTCTTTTTAAACATTTAACATCCTTTGAATTTATTTGAAGCATTAAGTTCAATATAAAACCATAATTCTATCGGTACAGCGATTAAAACAATGTATTTGTTCTTTTATTAACATTATTTAATACAAATATATAATATACATACAGGTGTTATTTTTTTTTAAAAGTAAATAATGAAAAAAAAAATCATTAAATATAAATATGGGAAAGATTTCTAAAGATATCATGGGAAATATGTATAAGAAAACTCCGTTTTACTTTTATAATATGAATAATTCGGTAGGTCTTCATTATAATTTATTTAATACTATCAATCAATATACAACTGTTGGACTTACAATTGATTTAATAACTTGAAAGGTTTTTGTATGAGATAATGTAACGAATTTAACTTTTATATTCATAGACAAATGAAAACTAGTTTATAAGTTCAAATATTGCAATTCGATTTATTTTGTGGATACAAATTTGGATACAAATGTGGATACAAATTTGGAACAAAAAATGAAATGAGGATCGCCGCGGTAACATCGTTGTATAATATCATATCGTTACGAAGCGACCAGTGACGAAGATGACTCCTCGGAAGAACATCCTGTCAATGTGGACCTTTGGTCAGGAGATTGATGACGTCACACGAGACATATGATGGTCTTGTTGAACTAACATCATGGGGAGCATGGAGTATAATGTACAGGTTGTAGGGTTGAGTTGTGTTGCATTTATTATAATAGACGTATAAGTCAGTTCAGTAGTTTTCCTGAACCTGGCGGCCATGAAAATAGTCTAATATCCTTAGTTAAATTAATTGCAATATGAAAACATATAATCGACTACGCTTCATTCATTTATATTTGTTTGCAAAATTAAAATTAATTTAGTATTTTTCGTAATGACAGCCGTGTTTATAGATCAATCTTAAACCGTCACGATACTCATAGGAAGAGTGCTAAAAACAAAATAAATATAACATGTATAATAGAACCACCCTCTGTCATAGGTTCTTTAAACACTACTCTATGACACGTGGTAAGTTCTATTTAGAATATTTTATTTATTTAACGTCGTATCTATTATTCACTGACTGGATGTTAGTGCGATCGAACTTTACACATTAACATACTTAGAATCTCAAATGAAAATGTTTCTAGTCCTTGTAATCATTGAGGTTTATCATAGAATTGGTGATGTAAGATGTGTTTAAATTAAACTATTATAACTTATATATCAAGTTACAATATTCAAAGTAATATTATATTACCTACAATATATAGTTACAAACGTTTGTTACTTCTCCGACACGTTAAAGAAAAAGTGTCTTAAATTATTTCTTCAAAAACTTCGTACATGTTGTATTAAATAATAGTTACTTTTGTAGAAAATATATTTTCTTCTTATTTTAAGATATTTTTTTTAAACGTAAATAATCATAATATCGAGACAATCTTACTAACTTGAAAATATTACTCATCTATTTGATTCAAACCTTTGAACCTTTATCTAGGATGCAGTAAAAAAATGAATCTTGTTTTACCAAATAACACAATAAGACAAGTTATGTTACACGTAGGAAGTATTGTTCTAGCGGATTTTCAATATATAAGATAGATTAGTAACAATAGAAATGAATGAAGAAGATTGTAATTCTCCTTCTATTTTATTTTATGTCTGAAACATACATAATAGAGTTATTTATTTTAAACTTCAAATGGTTTGCTCTTGTAAATGAAGGTTTACTCAGAGATACATTTCAAATCCTATTGACTAAGAAAAATATCTACATCACACTCAATAATTTAATAAAACCAACATAAACTAGGAGCGAAATATTTATTATCGTATCACAGTTCACTTTAATAAATAGATAAAGATTTAGAAACATGACATGTTTGAGACGATGAGACCCAAAACAAAGATCTAATGGAAATCCGTCATTGTGTGAGTGTAAAAACCGTCTTTCCTAGTCCAAGTGTTTACCAGCCCTTCCAGCCGCTGTTCCAGCCACCGTTCCAGCCATTGTTCCAGCCACTGTAGCCACGGTTCCAGCCGCCATAGCCACTGTTCCAGCCACCGTAGCCACTATTCCAGCCTCCGCCGTACGAGTAAGGGCGGGAGTACACTAGAGGAACACTATAACTGTAACTCGGAGAAGACCAGCCGCTGTGGAGGTAGCCTGCAGACACGGCGCTCAATGACACCGCGAAAATAAGCACACAGCTCTGAAACACCAAACAAAGTATTCTCTATGATATCCTTGTTGAATATTGCCATGAAAATATATGTTTCTACATTCCTATACACCTGATACAAGTATTCAAAACAGTACTATTATATATCTCATTTACTTACGAGTAGTTTCATTTTGTGCGAGCGTTTGTTTCCCAAACTGACGGTCGAGTATTCAGAGTCAGCTCATCTCTGAGCTTATATAGGGACACGTTCTCATAAGAACACTGTGTTATGATGATGACGTCGATGTTTACAAAAATTATAATGTTTACCACAAAAGGACAAAGTAATAAATTATCCAGATATAGTAACGGGATTGATGATTTATTTATAAAGACTGCTTTAATATTATAATCAATAATTGAATTAACGGAATACTTCATTCATTTTAAAAGGGGTTTTTCATAGTTCATTCTTTTTATTACGAAACCCGGTCAATATAATCATTAAAGTAATTCGGATCAAGTTTATAAAAATAGTAGAGATTTATGGTTTTGATCGTAACAATGTCTCTTTTGTAGTGACATTATTTTGGTCATTATAAACTATTAGTAAGGTCAATTCTTTATCTAGAATAAATGTGTATATTACTGATTATTTAATTGTGTGTGTGTGTCTGTCTCTGTATGTGTGTGTATGTATGTGTGTGTGTGTGTGTGCGTGTCAGAGTTGTTAAGTAGTGTAATGATTGATGACAGTGTCCTCGCATCATCGATATTCATCTTTTATTATAAGTATTGATTGCAATTCATTACCCTGCGACCCGTTGATTGACTTCAACACAACACTAACTCATACACGTCAACAGTACAGTTATAATATATTAATATTATACTCTATAAACATATTAAACTTAATATATTCTATGAGCAGGTTATTTAGTTAATGTTTCATCGTGTCAGTACGTTGAACTCTCTCATTGAAGGTGTATTAAATGTCAGCCCTTCCCATGAATATTATTCCGAGGGCTTGGTCTTAATCGGAGTCCTAGTTGCTCATCGAATCCTCGCCAAAACGAGACGAACTACACAAAAACATTGTGATATTATCCAGCGATAATTACGTAAGGTGGCAACCAAATATTCCAGGAAAACTAGGAAAGTTACTTATATGATAATATAATAAGAATTACATATAAAACTTATAACCTCCACCTAAGACTACATGATTGCCCCGATGTTAGGATAGCAATCCCATTCCATAGCTTGTGTGGTATCAGGAATCTTCTGGTTCACACGGCTTGGTGTTCGTTCCGCGGAGTCAGCAGCGTCACTCGTTATATATTTTATCCATACAACGATGTTGCCCCGGCGATGTTCATATATTTTTAATATATTTCCCGTATGTAACACAGTAAGTATTGAGTAGGTTTATATTAGTGAGTAGTGTTTTAGGAGATGTGTTGTAATGATCGTAACTAACACACATTATCGTGGAGGAGACCGCAAGTGTACCGCAGACTGACACATGTATTATATGTTAGGAACTTAAGAGGTAGTTATTACAGCTATTGTTTTACAATAACTTTATATAAATATAAGTTCAATGGGCAAAAAAACTCAAATCATTATTGAATTTAAACTCTGGATGCGTGAGCAAATGAAGTATTTAATTTTTGATGTAACGTTTTAAAATATTACAATTTAGATTTCAGTAAAATATTACTTAAAATAAAAGTAATGTTCATTTGTAATCTAATATATATCATACTTCACAAACAGAGTTCGTCCGTTGTATAATAACAAACATGAAATATAGAAGAGAAGACTCAGTAGTAATTAATTTGTATTAAAGTATTTCATTTACAGTGATCTGTCACATATGTATCGTGAACTGTTACTTCTATTTTATTTATATTTTTAAATGAACCAGAATAACTAGTAGTAACAAAATCAATGCTATGAGATGGGTCCCGTCAGACGGCTGTAACAAAACACAAAAATCTGTCTTCAAAAGAGTATTGAGAGGCTCTTGTTGGACTAAAAGAAGCAAGTATCTTTAAACCTTTAATGGCAAAATTAAAACTATTAAACTTGAATATTAATGTGTTTGTGCGAAAAACATTAAATGATAATGAGTTCAGTTTAACATAATATATATAATGAACGGTGACCTCCGTCATTATAACAAGATGTTAGTGTTGAGGGCGCGCCGGTGACGAGTATAGTGTTGACACACGGACATATGGACACACGGACACACTGACACATGGATACATGGACACACGGACACACTGACACATGGACACACGGACACACGGACACACGGACACACGGACACACTGACATATGGACACACTGACACACGGACACATGGACACATATACAGGGTGACTGGTGAATTACTATCAATATTTAAGGAGAATACTCGGTACATGATTCTCATTCGAATTATGTAAAAAAAATAGGCACTTAATTTTTGACAAAATTTCCGTATAAATAAATAAAGTGTTGACACGTTCCAAGTGTTAAAGTGTGGACGCGTGCGGCGACGTGTTGATACAACACTACGTCACGACACGCGTATGTGTGAGTGTGAGTGTATACCTAGTCTGTAGGGTGCTCACACGATGCGTAATTAATTACATAACTTTTGGTTAACTTTACTTAGTAGTTTATTAATATTTATGTTATATTAATTTTTATTTTGTCATATATGATCGTCAAATATCACGTCCTCAAATATCGATAGTAATTCACCAGTCACCCTGTATATAAAGAGGCCTAAAATTTAGCACCCGTTTGTTACAGTTTAAATGAAGCTGTTGTGTAGATACATGTACATATATTGTGATGAATCTAATATTTTTCGGATGTACCACGCGATTTTATTTTAAATCCTAAAATATTAGTTTCATTTAAATGAATTCTCGCGAAAATTTTACATCTCATTATGTATATTATTGTATATTAAGATATACCCATTGAATATACCCATACACATACACAGGGTGACTGGTGAATTACTATCGATACTTGAGAACGTGATATTTGACGATCATATATGACAAAATAATAATTAATATAACATAAATATTAATAAACTTCTAAGTAAAGTTAACCAAAAGTTATGTAATTAATTACGCATCGTGTGAACACCCTACAGATTAGGTATACACACACACACACACACACGCGTCCACACTTGGAACACTTGATTTATTTATACGGAAATTTGGTCAAAAATTAAGTACCTATTTTTTTTACATAATTCGAATGAGAATCATGTACCGAGTATTCTCCTTAAATATTGATAGTAATTCACCAGTCACCCTGTATATACATGTATTTTTGTAAATGTATGTTTTGTTATATTTCAATAACATTACTCATCTCCGTGTCTCGTCTCATGTAAGTTATCCCACACTCTTCAGATCCAGATATAATTGCTCATATAATATTTAAATCTATTTCAATATCAATCTCTCGTTCTCCGCACAGCTCGTGTCATCTCTCCGCGTGTATTAATTCTATAACCAGTTAAATTTTAAACGTATAACCTTAACTATTCATTTCAAATTCTATTTCGCAGTCGTGTAGGTACAAGCCGGTTACTTCATAATAAATATATATATGTGTATATACTAGTTGCGCCCCGCGGTGTTACCCGCGGATTTCCAGGATTTTCGGGATTTCCGAGATGTAAAGTAAACTATATGTTATTCCTGAACATCAGCTTCCTGTATACAAAATTTTATTAAAATCGGTTCAGCCGTTTGAGCGTGAAGAAGTAACAAACATACACACACTCACAAACTTTCGCAATTATAATATTAGTAGGATGACATCAGAGCGGCAAAATTTTAATTCAAGTCTTGTTCTCATCACTATCTCATTAGTTCACAGATCCTCATATATCTTGTTTCAGTTAATACTAGTAATTGTTTCCTGTCGTTGCTCGGTATTCGTTCCGACCTCACGTGCTAATATGTAGAACAGTTGTGACGGTAATAGTCGACATTTATATTTTAATGATATGTTGGATTTATGTTGGGACTATAATCTATAAGAATTATGTAAAATATTCGTAATAATTACATATATTTATCAAAAGTTTTTGACTCAATTATTATAAAACGAGAAAAATCTGTACGTATAGTATAAAGACGAAACCTCTCATCATTCAATATATTCACGGTGCGTGTGTCGGGTCCATCGTTGTAGGGAGAGGAGCTTCAACAGTGACTGGGACTAGCGACCCAGGTGTAGGTTTAAGGGTCCCTATCTAACGCGTTTAACGCTCACCTCCACCGTACAAGCTCCTCTTAATATACATAAGAAAGTTCAAGATGTTCAAGTCCATAAGTTCTCACGAGCAGGTATTTTAACAAGTACATATAATACGAGTAGTTCATCCATTTTAAATTAAATCTTTCTAAAAGACGTATTTCATATTACAATGCATATTGTTTTCGTCAGAGTGTAAGTCCCAGTAGAGATGTCCTTGACACTAATCCCTCATATAAATCATAACAGATATTATATTTTGTGTCATAAACTGTTAGCTTCATATACACGAGTGTCTGACACTTGAATGAAATGACTCTTTAAAAAGATTGAGAGGCTGTTTGAAACATATGGATATATTGATATGTTTAGATAAAATATGGATAATTATAAAACGAGAAGGAGTTACTTGTATTATAAGTATCAAGAAGATTAGAAGTATTTAAATGAAACTAATATTTTTTTGGATATATTACTGAAGGTCTAATACTTTTCGTCTTAATGACCACGATTGCTGGATAGTAACCGAAACGTCGGGAGTATAATCAGGAGTTAAAATAATAAAATATGAGTAGTAATCCGAATAATATTAGTTTCATTTAAATGATTACTCGTGAAAGCCTTAGATCACATTATAAGTTTAAAAATATTCTAAAAGCTGCTGTAAATAGTGTCGAAGCTTTTTTAACATGGGAGATTCACAGAGGACTGGAAATAAAATGACTTTAAATAGAAAACTGATCGTATAATTGCACATTAAAAAATAAAATGGTAAGCGTAAAATACGTCACGTCACGTGAAATGACGTCCCTGTGAATGTTACATCAAAGAATTCTATGGAAATATCCTAAAAAAAATTTAAACCTTCAAAAACAGCCTTCAAACTAAAATGTTCGACACATTATTGTAATCTGTAACTTGACCTGTGTGTTACATATGAAGTACACCAGGCGACACAAGTCTCACACTTCAAATAAAATGTCTTGGGAAACAAACAAAATAATCAATAATATTGTTATATACTATTTGTCGCTGTACACGCGAGCTGTTCCCTGGTTCCCCTCCTCTCTTCAGTCAATCCTATATATCTATTATATATATTTCATCATCTAGTCATGTCGTCAGTCCGTGTTCTCATCAGTCTCTATATATTTCAACACCACTGGTTGTTGTTCCAGGCTCCGTTCCTCTGGTAAACGAGTGGAGCGAGGTTGTAGTTCCTGATGGGCACAGTCTGGACGGTCTGGACAGTCTGGACTGGTCTGTACACCTCCACGGGCCTATAGGTCTCCACTGGTCTGTAAGTCTCTACCGGTCTGTAGGTCTGGATGGGCGTGTAAGTCTGTAGGGGCTGGTAGTTCTGTACGGGGGCGTACGTCTGTAGTGGCTCCCTGTACACGACTCTATTCACTGGGTAGTTGTAGGAGACGGGAGCCTGGACGTGATACTCCTGCTGTTGGGGCGCTGAGTACTGGAAACAATGATACGAGCTATGTGAACGAGTTGATGTCTTTTGTATTGAACATTTATTTTATCAACAAAAGAGTTGAACGTACGCTATATAGTTACAAGTATGTATAACTAAATACAAAACTGATTAATGTTTTATTAGAAAAAAACATTTTGTGGTCGAGATAAGAACAGTAATGATTATAAAAGAGATTAATTTTATATAGAGGACTTCAACATCGTATCATTAAATAAACAACATATAGGTTCTAATACGAGAGTTTCTCACCACAGGCTGCACGTTGTACAGAGGTCGTTGAACCTGCGGCTGGTAGTGGTAGGAGGGCTGGAGCACGGAGTTCAGGACGGTGGTGTGACGCGTGTTGGACTGGAACGACGTGGACTGCTCCGTGTTGGACTGGAGGGAGGAGGTCTGCAGGGCCCCGGACTGGACCGGCAGGCTCTGGAGCCCGGCCTGGACTGGCAGGCCCTGGAGCCCGGCCTGCTGCAGGCCCACGGGGCCGAAGCTGCGCTTGTCGCGGCTCACAGAATCACCGCTCGCCACGGAGATGACGGCCAACACGAGCTGGGGAAGAATAGGACAATGATAATATCTATATACATCTTCTAGAATAAGAAGACATATATGTATATATATTGTTATAATTAGACTAACATCTCGAGAACGGTTAAACTTCAAATAGTGCAATACAAACACATTATTGACTTATTACATTTAATTAGTTCAATATTTAAACTAGGTGTATTAATGTAGATGACATAAGTCTTCTCTGACTAGTTTTATTCACAATCACATGTATTTTTATAATTACAATGATATCTTATAGTAGTATAGAGTATTCATTGAAATTAATTTATTATTTTAGAACGTTCTACGCGTTTTTTATTATTTTAATTATTCTATATTATTTCTATATTTATTCTGTTCCCAGTGTGTCCGTGTATATCAAGTGCCTTCCACACTCGTCTCCGCAACTCACCAGAACCTTCATATTGCTCGTTGTAACTCACGGTAACTCACTAACTGACTCACTCACCAACTATACTCACTTATATAGTAGATGTGGTTCATATTAATAATAAGAGCGGATCCTGACGGACGTGGCGTCACTCATATTTATTACAGAGTTATGGCCTATTTTTTAGGGATCCGCGATACTATTATTGAATCTTTTACCATCAAAATATTTGTCATTCATTGATGACTACTTAAACTGTGCCTTAAATTTTGATATATATAAAATATAAAAACATGCTATATATATGAACGCGAGAACAAAATGTACATTATAATAATAAAAGTCGTGGTGGCCTAGTGTTTAAAAGGCCGCCTCTCATGCACGAGAGCGCGGGTTCGATCCTGGCAAGTGCCAATGTGATTTTTCCGAGTCATATGTACTTTCTAAGGAAAACATCGCGAGGAAACCTGGACTTAAAATTTCACAAATATAAGTTTAAAATCACCAACCCGTCTTGAGCAAGCGTGGTGATTAATGCTCAAACCTTCTCCATGTGAGAAGAGGCCTTTGCTCAGCAGTGGGCTCTGATAGGCTGATGATGATGATGATATATCAACAGTTACTTCAATGTTTGTGTTGTACTCACATAATATATTTTAATATAAAGTGATGGAACCATTCAAACACAGTTCATAATTATTCCAATCGGTATTTGGTTTTAATATTTGCTAACGACTTGGGAAGACCCGACATATCATAAACATATTATTGTACGAGGACCGGTCTCGTTACATCATATATATAGAAGGTTCGGTTGGTTTAACGAACTCACGCCAGTAATATGACAACTATAACATGATGTATGGAAGGTGGAAAGATGTGATATATGATACGTAATGTTCAAGAGATAACGACTATATTAGAGTTTGGTTAACAATTAGAACAATAACTATATAATAATCTATTATAAACAACATTAATACATGGATATATAGTTTTCTTCTTCCATATAAGTTTTCTTCTTCCATATAAGTTTTCTTTTCCAACTCTATCTAGTATTATTTCTCTCACACTACTCTACGTGTCTATCAATGTAGATTGATTCATAGAATAGTATAAGACATGTTCTTTCCTCCGTCTCTCCCCGGCTCATGTTAGTCCAAACACTATACATTATCATAACCAGTGTATTGTGTGTGACCACTCCTTTTAATTAGTACTTCACTAAAGACTCGTCCTTCGAATATTTTAAGTAAATAACTTATTATCGTTTACTTAAATATATTATTCCATTTGGCAAATTATACAAATCTTAAGGCGACGAATATATGTATCCGTATATAAAAATATATAGAAATATTTGTCTCTCACAAGTGTTAAGAATTCAATCTGCATTCGATGCCCGATAGTAAGATAGTATTTTTTTAAACCGATGTTTATAATCCAAAATAAATGAAAAATATGTATGAAATAATGCTGCCAGATCGGACGGTTCTTCACGGACAAAGCCGCGGATATAATTTGTACTACATATAATATGGCCCGGGCAAGTACCAATATGATTTTTCCGAGTCATATTCTCATATCTATGTCTATTTAGACATCACTGATTAATGCATTCCCGAAGAGGGTTGATATTAGACAGGCGGCCGGTCGTAAAAACAATTAGCCAAAACTATTCACAATATGTAAGGCAGACCCTGGCTAAAGCTGGGAAATTGCCAGGTAGAAGAAGAAGATAATTAAGCTTCTCCACGTGAGAACAGGCCTCTGCTCAGCAGTGAGCTCTGATAGGCCGATGATGACGACGACATATTATATTTTAATGTAATTAGCTTCTGCAATCAGTACATCGCTTGAAACTTGTGTACGCTTCTATTTCCTGGATGAGGATTGACGTAACCTTGACACCTGTAGCCAACTACCAGAAACATTGTTTGACCAGAAGAGAAGGAAGCAACCTCCAGATATACACGGACATGAGTAGGTACCGAGGAGTCATCAGCGACACTCGTTATTGAAGTAAAACTTCTGTACGCACTGTTGTGGTTAAAGTACTTTAAAGAACTTTATTTCCTCAAAAAGAACATACAATGTTCAATTAAATCAGATATGTAATATTACATAATTAGTATAGTAACGACTTATACAATTCAAGAGTAGTTATTCTATGTAAGTGCTTTTTACAGCAAGTTAATAATTTCTTTCTAAAAATCGTTAAGGTTTATTTAAGTAAAAATTTCATTAGGTAAGCTATTATATAGTTTCGCTCCCTCAAACTGTATAGTTTTAATTCCGTAGTTGGTCCTGGTCTTAGGTAATTCAAGTTTGTGTTTATTTCTCGTGTTATGTTTATACATTTTAGTTTTAAATGTTATTTGTGTGTGTATTGGCTTTATAAGTATTTTTCTAATTAATATGCATGTTTTATATTTGTTTAACTCGTTAATTGATAATACATTGGTATGTTTATAACAATGCTTTTAGTAATTTATTTTGTGAAATCTGAAGATCCTTTATATTAGTTTTAGATGCACTTCCCCAAATCTCAACAAGATATTCTAATAAAGGTTTGATAAGAGAGTTATACATATATTATAATACGAATCTTGTGTGGTATACAACGTGATGATCTAAGTATAGCTCCAGTAAGTGAGGTTATTTTTCTTTGTAAATTATCTAACTCTTGGGGGTAAAATTATGAAAGCGTTACGAAAACTGTGATCGGGCGAGGAGAACAAAAGTGAGACGGAGATATGAGTTAATGAAGATAGATAGAGAGTGTTACGGTTTATGGATCATCATCACCTCATCGTAATAAAATAAAAAATAAAATAAAAATAAAAATAAACTTTATTGACTAAAAGGTTACAAATGAAACAAGTTGCGAGGGCCCCTGTACTAGGTACAAACCCGTGTTACTGGGTGCCCCGCTCATCCACCAAGACAACTAGAACGTCAACAATGACTTTGTAACACATATTTATAGAACTATCCAATATAAAGCAGGGTTTACAATTTTATAAAGTAAGTAGAAAAAAAAAGTGTGTGTGTGTGTGTGTGTGTGTGTGCGTGTGTGTGTGTGTGTGCTTGTGTGTGTGTATGTATGTGTGTATGTATGTGTGTCTGTGTGTGTGTGCATGCGTGTGTGCGTTTAACATCATATTAATCTTATTATAATTGTGAAAAGTTAAATTTAATTATGAGTTTTTCAGTTTCAGCATAAGTTACACGTGAGCAATGTCTCCGTTAGATGTAATGGATGAATGGATGGATGGTAATTGTGTTTCAAAAAGGAAAAAAATTACTTCAGTCGTGTGGTCAAAAGCAAATTAGTTTTAATATTTTATATAATATTATACAACGATGTTACCGCGGAGATGTTCGTAAATCTAGTAATAAATATTTCGCATACATTACCGAGGAATCAAGTTTATTAATTAAACTATTTGTATTCTAAATGATATTAAGGTATAATAATTTGATATCGAAGAAAATAGTTCGACGACCGACAGACGGAACCTGTTTGTTTTTATGAAATTTTGATATGAAACTAATTAAAATATAAATAGGGTTTTTTTTTATTAAAATGACGAATACTTGAAGTTATGTTATAATATTATATTTCTATCATAAATTAAGTCGACTGAGATTTAGTGCGTGTCGTAAAAATTGACAGAAAAAAATTCGTGGTGTTTATTCGAATAAAAAAAGCCTTTTGATTAAAACATGAGCCTAGAGACTCGTTATTTTAAGTAAGAAAATATTTTTTTAGTGGATTAGGAAAAACCGATATTAAAAGTCAGTTAACACAACTCTGTGATGTCCTATTATTGAATTAACTATTTTTATGGATGTTTGTTTTATACAATATTTATTATATTATATGAGAATATAAATATTTATAGAATATTTATATTTGTACTGAATTTCTTAGTGTTCCAAAATACGAAACTGTTATTCATTTTTCTTCATCGACATCATCATTAGCCTGTCGCTGCCAACTGCTGAGCAATGGCCTCTCCTAACATGGAGAAGGTTAGAGTATTAATCACCACGCTCGCTCAAGACGGGTTGGCGATTTCAAACTTATAATTTGAGATTATAAGTCCAGGTTTCCTCACGACGTGTTCCTTCACAGTCTGTCAGTGATGTCTAAATACTCTCAGAAAGTAGATATGACTCGGAAAAAACACATTGATACTTGCCAGGTTTCGAACCCGCGCGTTAATGTATGAGGCGAGTCTTTAACCACTAGACCACCACGACATTATTCTTACAAAAATTTAAACATAGTTGCTGATTGGATAAAAAAATTCTGTAAAAACACATATACTCGTACATACATCCATACTCACATAAATACATAAAATAATGGTTATTAATTAATTATATTTATTATAATTAATACATAAAAACGCGTTTAATAAAGTATAGAAATATTATAATAATAATAAAATTATATTATAAACACATCATAGAAATAAATTCTAAGTCAGTGATGGCCTAGTCGTTAAAAGGCCCGCCTCTCGTTGCCGAGGGCGCGGGTTCGATCCTGGCCCAGGCAAGTACCAATGTGATTATTCCGAGTCATATGTACTTGCTAAGAGTATTTACTATTTAGACATCACTGATTAATGCATTCCCAAAGAGGGTTGATGTCAGGCAGGCGGCCGGTCGTAAAAAAGAATTAGCCAAAACTATTCACAACATGTAAGGCAGACCCTGGCTAAACCTGGGAAATTGTCAGGCAGGCGGCCGATCGTAAAAAACAATTAGCCAAAACTATTCACAACATGTAAGGCAGAACCTGGCTAAACCTGGGAAATTGTCAGGCAGGCGGCCGATCGTAAAAAACAATTAGCCAAAACTATTCACAACATGTAAGGCAGACCCTGGCTAAAGCTGGGAAATTGCCAAGTAGAAGAAGAAGATCATATAAATAAATTCTAGGTAAAAAAAATGGTTTGGGTGAATGAGTGAGTGAGTGACTAGTATTCCAACAGCTGTCCTCATCACACGCACTTCGAATAAACTTAGAAATATTTTTTATGTGTAACACTGTTTATAAAGTGGCTCTATATAAGTATAGAATGTAGTTAAGGATTTTCTCACACATACAGTTGATTAACCAATAACGTTACTGCAATCACAATATTTTCTTTACAGGAGTTTCGCAAGGATCTGTCAAGGAATCTAGATCACAACGCGAACGACCAGAAATACTAGGAACAAACATTTTAAATACATTAAGCATGAGAAGCCTTTTTGTATAATATGTTATGAACAGTATATTAAATTTGAACATTTTATATTGTTTAAAAACTATTTTATAGCCTTGTTACGTATTAAAACCTAAATTAACATCGCCGGGGCAACATCGTTGTATGGATAACATATATAATGATTAACGAGTGACGGTACTGACTCCGCGGAACGAACACCAAGCGTGTGAACCAGAAGATTCCTCATACACACAAGCTATGGAATGATATTGCCATCCTAACATCTGGACAATCATGTAGTCTTAGGTGTAGGTTATAAGTTTTAATATGTAGTTCTTATTATAATATACATAAATTAAGTTTGTTTCGTAGTTTTCCTGGAACCTTCGGTTGCCACCCTAAATAATTTACTTTACATTGTTGTATCATATTTTGTAATATATTTCGTAACTGGGTACAATATCTCCGGAGCCCCGCGCCGGTCCGCCCGGTCGTACAGTCGTACTATTAGTATTCAATTATCAAAGGTTTCTTAAACCGGTCCATGTTACTGAATGAACCTCATCTCAAGTCACCCGCGTGTCACAACATCCGAACACAGACTTCCTTTTACAACACTATCTTTTGAAATAAATTGAGATACATCTGGAAATGTTACAAAAAAACGCTAACAAATATTCATTTAATTCTCCATAAAAAAAAAATGCCTTCACATTTGCGTCTATTTTTAATATATTAGTAAAATGTTATAGATACATATTTTAGTCATGCTAGGAATTTTTAAAACTTTTCATATATCCGAAGACATCTGTACTATGGAGGAGTAATGTAATATTTCTAGAACCGCACAGAAAGTTCAGCAAGCTTATTAATACTATGGTGTTTCTTTTATAAATAATAAACAATATAAATGTACACAATTTATTGATGTTAGAACACACTGAGAGCTGCAATTTGGCACCGACGGAGCCACCACGAGGGCTACATGATACAGGACCTAATCTCTAGTTTAAATACAATATAGACATATACATAACATACATTTATTGGAGGCTAGTTTAACGCCAGCCATGACCGAGCCCCAGCAGAGGTCCTCCTATCAGACCGTGGCCCCCGAGGCCGCCGATCAGCCCGTGGTCTATGATGGGCGCGGGCAGGGCCACGCTATGGCTGATGATGGGCGCCGAGGCGATGCTGATGCCGTGTCCTCCGTACAGACCGAGCCCGTGTCCTCCATACAGACCGAGCCCGTGTCCCAGCAGCGGAGCGCCGTATCCTAGACCCAGAAGACCACGCTTCTCATTCTTCTTCTCCTCAGCTCCGTAGACCACAGCCGCCGACAGGAGGAATAAACACAGCTAGAAAATAAAATAAGGATATATCTTGGAAAGATGACGTATGAGAGAGGCTTTAAACAAAAGGAATCACTCTAATCGATTAAGCAAAGAGTTAGGCTTTACACAATGTACTTAATAAAAGAAGTCAGTGAATTATGGGATTCGGTAAATAAAACGCTTCGCTGAGAAAAACAATGTATAGTCAATGAAATAATTATTGTCCTGAGAAACCTTTGTTTGATGAAATATTGGCGTAATGAGAATTATTGTTAATTGTTGTTGCACATTCATTATCATTTTTAATCTTAATTTTTATTATTAAGTATATACTAATAATCTCGTCAGCTCGTGATCACTGTTGCTGTAAAGTAACCGAAACGTCGAGAGTATGTACATAGTTTATAGTCACAAATAAAATCGCGTAGTGTATCAGAAAAATATTAGTTTCATTTAATTGACTCGCGAAAATCTTAGAGCTCATTATATACTGACAATTTACTTTGAGAATTTCTGGTTATATTACTTGAATATGACGTCTGGTTTTTATTTCACATTTATTTAATTTTAAATTATTATTATAGAAGTTCAAATTATGTCATAATTACAATACACTTAGAATAAAAAATATATATTTGAAACAATGTTTTGGCCAGTACCTATAAAGCAAAACTTTAAATAATTATCATGAGTATAAAAAAATTATTCGTGTTTACTTACAATAGCCTTCATAGTAAGTGTAGCGTTGTCCTAGACTTAGTACTTAGCTCACAGTTATCTGGCTGTTTTATGAACCTGGCTCTTATATACCCCAAGCCTCCCCTCTTGGCTGTCTCTCAACACAGAGGTAGGTACTAAGGGCCCACAGAGTACAGACCTTAAATTGACCAATGATTCATCCGGTCCCACGAGCCTTATACTATAAACACTAACTTCCTGCTGTTAGTACTAAAAATCCTTTCTATATCATATATTTAAGAATTAATTCATTCATTTTAATTATTATTTGGGGTATGTACATCATATTTATATTAATATAAATATTTTCAAATCTACTTCACAGTAACGAAAGGACAATCACGATGCTTACTAGTTAATTTTCCGTTTAGTTAAAATGTTCATAATTTAATAATTCTAATATTTTCTTACGATCTTAAGATAACTTTGCACATCTGTGAATTGAGAACTATTAATCCCTTCGTATTGTAGATGTCAAAAAGAAATTTATTGTTACAATAGATGTTGTGAGACGTGAGTTAAAAGTTACATAATTTAAAAGACGATATTTCAGATTGTTTTCTTGATAGACAAATCTTTCCTTTTGTCAATGACAAACTATGAAACACAAATACTTTCTATCGATTTTATGAGATTGTTCCTTGCTTTGACCAAAAGTATGTGTGTTTCAAAGACGAAGGTTTTCATTGCAACAATATTAATAGTAAACTTACGTTACCCTTATATTGTGTTACAGTTTGAATGAGGGAGAGAATTAAAAATTTACATGCTTTTGAGTTCATTCCTTTTTATTTCATTCATACAAACATTTCTCTTATAAAAACTAATAATAATTTAATACAAGTCACTATATATAATAAAACCTTACCTAATCTAGTGCACTAAGACTGTTTATAAAACAGTGATTACAATTAATGTATGAGTCACTGAACAATTCATTACTACATGCTGACTACACATTGGCCGACAGATGATTAATGACCTGTCTATTAATTTATTGATTTGATAATTAACTTAAGTCTATCAATTTACAATATACAAATAAATAATAAATTTATTTTCTTTTTGATTCAAAATAAAGATACTTTGTTTATTATAACAATAAACCTTCAATGTGTATTGAAACACATTTTTTTCATTCGAACTGTTAGTATAAACCTTTTATTGGGATTGTGATCGTAAATTCAACATTAGATATCTAATATACTTATGAACTAAACTTAACAAACCTATCAATTGTACTTGTTGTATCAACACCACTTGTACTTATATTGTAATGGTTGAATTCTTATCGATTTATTTCTTGTTTTTCTCTCTATTTCATTGTTTTCTCGCTTCGTATATAAAACAGTGGTCGTCGACAGTTTCCACACAGCCACTCGTACCCCAGAGGTAGTTCCCACACCTCCCCCAGACAGCAGCTGGTGTCTCCACATCTCGGATGAGGAATCATCTCCACGTAGCCCTGATCCAGGAGCTGCTGGTCACTCTCTATTTCTCTCAATATCCTCAACGCTGTGAGTAATACGTGTGGTCGTAAAGCAGCAGGTATGTCTTCTGAGGAGTCTATGATAGTCGATACTTCTGTTAGTGCTACTACTATTCTACTCAAACATATATTTGATATCACACTCTTGAGAAACGTTTCTATACTTTTATCGTAAAGACTCTCCATGTCTAGACCGGTGTGTTGTATGTTAACTGACAAACTGTTGATGGAAATTAAGTTCACTGAAAGAAAGTCTAAGTATTTATTGATCCCTATCGATTAGTACAACAATAATCTCATTATAATCAGTGATTATCGCTAATCACTATTATTAATAATAATGATTAAAGACTAATATTATGTTAATTAGTTTATAGATCATTATATATATGTTTTCAAAAAATTACACTGAACTTTTGTAATTGTTACAAGTAACATTGAATATTATAATAATACGAAATTCATTCATAATTTAAATAAGATGAAAAAGAACCTCAATTTTTGATGACATTAAATATTCATCAAATGAGAATCTTGAGACAGTTTTGTATAGACATGTGTATATATGTACATATGTATGTTTATTATCCCTTTTATTTTATACAATGAGTAGATTTATTAAATAATATTTATTGGTGAGGTCGTTGAACTTTCCTCCAGTTGGTTTTTATCACACCAAAACCCAAGTAGAGAATTTCTTATAATACAAAAACAACATTAAAATATTCTGTGATCTAAAAGGAGTTATTTACACCACCGTATGTAGTAATGTTATAAGTTTCAACATGTCGCGTAGATTTGGAGTCTGGTTCCTTTTAAGAAACATTTCCATTACCAATTGCACTTACATTTAGAAATGACTCCCTTTGGAGTATCTGTTCCCACTTTGGTGATTCATTCATGAATTATTGTTAAGGTTTTTTAAATAAGTACGTTCCCTACATCATTCCTTATATAAATCTGTAGTAACTAATAATATAAGGACGAATGGTCTTGATTAAATATAAAAATTTAGTTTTAATTACTATTTATTATATCTGTAATACGATCAACAAAACTATGTAGTTAAACAACCTTTTGGATCGCTTAAAGATCATCGCCGGTCGCTTGGGAACCTCGGAGTACAGTTCACATACAAGTGGAAGGTGAAGGATGAAACTGATCTTACACAGTAGTCAGAGCGAGTGATTTAAACATTAAACATTTATGTAATATTAGTAACAAACAAACACACGTGTGGCCCGTTTTTGAGTAAATAATTCATATTATATCCTGTTCGTACGCTGCTTGCGAAACGTTATCTAGTTCATGTGTCCACACTCCACATCGATAAAATCGAGCATTTTGTGTCTTATATAATGACTAACTACCTGGCTCAAGTTAAATGTAAAATTCAAAGGAACTACTTTGATTGGATAATGATGACGACTTGAAGTTGAAATGATGGTGATCATAGTATCAATGGACAACTAACACGGGAACAGGAATGGGTGTGTTAAAAAAAGTAGCACAAGTCAATTAGTTATTTTATTATTTTATATAAAATCGTGTAAACATACATCTAATAAATAAATAAACTTAGTTATTAATACTTGTCAATAAAGAAATAAGGCAATCTATACAATATTACACGACGACATCATCTCTCTCTTTACAAATTGGCATTCATGTCCAAAATCACGAACTACGCACGGTCACATGATGTTTAACAAACTTTGGGAATAGTTAAACTTATTGTTCTAAGAGGTAGCGATGTCGCATAAATGCAACGTTTCTATCTCTTCTGTCGGCACAAAAACAAACATATAAAGTTAATATAGTTAGTAAGTTTCATGAAGACTCCCTCACTGGCATTTAACTAATATTATCTCTGCAGAGCCAAGTTACAAGCTATATCGTTATATAGGCGTAACTATTGGAAGTGATCCAGCGGTCTGTCTATCGGTGGTTGGAGTTTCAGAGGTATGTGATTGTGGAACTGTTGGTCACCGTCTTCAGAACTGCGACCTTCTGCTCCCTGATGAGGAAGTCCATACTCTTGGCCGAGGTGACCTATGTTGTAATCGTTCTGATAGACGTCTTGTCCATGTTGACCAATATCCTGAGCCTGCTGAGAGTAGTCATTGGCCTGTCCGTGTTCCTGACCCAGTTGCTGGGGGACGCCATACTCTTGAGCCGGCTGTTGCTGGTTGTTCAAGCTCTGCTCGTACTGCGCCTGCTCTATCTGTTGTTGAATGTGATGCTGCAATTGATGTTGAAAGTCATGGTATTGGTTGTCCGTGTGATGCTCGAACACTTGTGACCCTTGTTCCTGAGTAAAATGATGTGTCTGTTGCGGGTAGTGGCCATCTTGTGCTGAACCCTGATCATGTTGCGATGGTACGGGCGACCAACCGTTGTTATCAAATTGAACTGATGGCTGAGTCGGTTCTAAGGGTTGAGGTACCTGAGTGGAATGAAATTGGAAGCCAGGTTGTAAGTGAGTTTCTTGAGTCGAATGTAAATGGATGCCAGGTTGTGGTAGTGCCTCTTGACCGGTGTGTAACTGGAACCCTGGTTGTGGTACAGCTTCTTGAGTGGGATGTAAATGGTATTCAGGTTGAGGCAAGCCCTCCTGTCCTGTATGAATGTGGAAACCTGGCTGGGGTACGGCTTCTTGACCTAGATGTAAATGTAATCCGGGTTGAGGAAGTGCCTCCTGGCCATGGTGTATTTCAAAACCTTGTGGAATATATCCTTGGCCAGGGTGTAAGTGTACACCGGGTTGTGGTAATACTTCTTGACCGGTATGGAAATGTACTTCAGGTTGAGGAATGCCTACTGAATTCGGGTGCACATGTACTGCGGGCTGAGCTTGGTGAAGCACCGCTTGTTCCACACCAACTTGATGTGTGTGATGTTCTACGACCCCGGAATGGGCTACAGCTTGAGGCACTAACTGCAATGGATGAACCTGTGGCCTTTGTAGTAAAACTTGTTGTACCGACTGTATACCCGATACACCATGACTTGCAGGATATATAGGGGCTTGGTAACTATTGATTAGCGGGTACCTCGGGTAGGTCGCGAATACCGATGTTTGTACAGCACCTCCGGGACGAATTACGTATGGGAAATGTTGACCTACTGGGAAAGCGGCAGATTGATAGAATGACGCCGGAGGTATAGGGACGGCAGCAGCGGGAAGGAGTGGTCTCAAATTAAGAGGAAGAGGGGCTTCAGGCGCGGGTTGAGGAGCAGGGAGGGGATGAATATGTCCTTGATGAATGACGGGCGGGGGAGCTGGAACAGGATGAGCCAACGGTAACACCGCTTGAGGCTGGGGGACTACGGGAGCGACGTGCGCTACGGGGGCAGCTGGTAGTACAGGAACAATAGGCTTAGGAGCCACGTGATGATGATGATGATGGTAATGATGATCGGGTTTCGCTAAATATTTAGTGTGAGGGAAATTCAAGGCGTAATGAGGATGCGGGAGACCTGGTACTTTGTGACCCACTGGAACCGGATACCTCGGTACATGGTGAATTGGAACAGGTATCTTAACTGCTGCGACGGCAGCTGTAGGTGGGTACGTCACTACCAGTGGTTTAAGTACGGAGTGTGTAATGCGTGGTATATCATGGCCGAGCTTGTATGGAGGAACTTCAGAGAATATTCCTCGTTTAATATGCTTTCCTTTCGTTGCCAAACTTCCGATGAGTTTTGCTTTGGCTGCCTTTATATGGGCGACATCTGCGAGAACTATCCACGCACACGCGCACACTGTCAACACAACCTGAAATAATGAATATTTTTACTATACATTATATTACTTGAAAAATATATAAATATTTATTTTTATTTGTGTAAAATATCCTTAGTGACAGAAATGTCAATTGAAATACAATATATCCTTTATATAGAAGTTAAACACTTTCTTTATCTTCCACCAATTATTATTATCGATTAAATGATCTTTTAGACTATCATAATAATCTCTATAGAAATAATTTTTTTACAATCTTTTATTCATTAGTAAAATAGAAATAAAAGGTTTTCGCTTGTACACATTTAAATGAAACAATTTTTTTCAGATACTACGCGCTTTTAAATCCTTTCCAGGAACCGAAATATCGGGATCATATGTATAAATAAAGAATAAAAAAAAACACTTAGTCTCCGAAAAATATAGTTTCATATTTAGTAAAGTTACTGACAAACATAACGGATGTCATAGTCGCAATGTTTTAGAGTTATGTTTGCGAACACCATAAACATAAAAACAGAACCAGAATAGAAGAACACTTGTCGATTAACCAAATAAACCCATATTTCACAAAGATCACATCACGAGGTACGTAGCTACACTATAATCACTGCACTTCCTTGAATACTTACACTATAGATCCTCATATTGGACGGTCGACCACTCGGCCTGACAGCCTTTCAGAAACCAGTGCCATCTTCAATAACAACCCATACTTATAACTTAAACTGTCTCCATTAGTATGTAGCCAGCGTTTTGTTTTCACTCCGTCTTCCGGACGCAACACGCCGCCTCCTCACGGCTTTCGATCGATCCTTAACGAGCATCAGAACCTCTTGTCCGAAATCACATTAATGTAATATGTACTCTATTTCATTGTTAGAAAGTTTAAATCGCTTATTTCGTATTAATTATAAAGCATCACGTAGTTCGCCGCCGTCATTCTTGTAACATGTTGGTGTGATCGCATACCAATTGATTGTAAGACGTAATCGAGGGAAAATTGTACCAGAGCACCAGGGACGGATTAGGAACTTAAATACTTTTAAACGTTTTCATATAAATATATACATAATAGTTGCATCCAATAACATTAATCAAAATATTTCCTAAGCCTTCAACATCTCTAAAGTGATAACACTTCAGCTTATCTTTTCTTTTTTTCTTAAGTTCTTCGTATGTTAAATGTTACCTATAACAATAATTACGACCATAGTAAGTTATCTACAATATATTCCCCCCTCACTCCGCCCCTGTCCATCCAGGTCCTTCTGATGCTCGTCACGCCGCCGGTTACCAAATGTTCGTACATCACTTTCCTTTTCTCTGACTGTCTTCAAGTGTGTCGCCGTCTGCTAAACTCCCATCGGATTTAACTCTTGTGTAATCCAACTAATTATAGACAATTATCCTACATTCGTGATTGGAAGTTTCGTAATCGTTTTAAGAGTAATGTTGGTAAACAATAGTAGTTAACATACAAAAACAAATTAAATTAAATGTATTTATTGCTCTCGTTCCATGTATTGAAGGATATTTAACAGAAATTAAGCAAAATAATTGATGAATACATAGTTAGGTATATTCTAATTTTCCGTAAAACTTGCTTAACCATCAAAATTTGTATAAGTTCAAAATGAACCAAAAAAAACTACATTCACGTGCAACATTTTCAACTTTTTTTTTATCTATTCCAAGACTGACCTAAAAACTGTCTAAGACCAATATTTTTTACAAACTAAGACACCATATAGCCGGTACCAAAATAAAAACATATAGCTATATAGTAACTTGACCTGTCCCACTAAAAAATGATCTAAAATAATTATACCATACAAATATACATTGATATAACTGCTACAGGATGTTGCCAAGGTATTTTCTATCTATATGTAAAACAAACACATAAATAGACACTTTGTCTCTTTTGCGTCTATAGTATAGTGTATATACATCATATCCTATTCATATTATTATTCTATTCTTATTGGATCTAAATCAATATATTTGAATAATAGGTGAAAAAAAATATACCTTAAATAATAATACGAATGCAGAAGTCACAAAAAAGTTTGACATTATAACATAGCGTAGGTAGATATCGGCTTTATGTAGTATGTTATTTTTATTAATTTAGAATGTTAGTGAGATTGTTTAGGTCAAGTGTTACGCGTTCAATTAGAACGGCTGGTTATTATTTTAAGGAGATGGAAAATTTTTAAACGTTCTAAATCCTACTGCGTTCTAGTTTTGTGCCTCGAGTTGATCTCCTTAGCCTTCAATACTATATCAATACATTTTTCTTCAAGCTCACGATTACGTAACATCAATCTAGATTTTGTTGACTAATTCAGCATCGAATAAGGGATGGAAAATTTATAGCTCAAATACGAATAGAAAAAATATTCTTTATAATTTGAAAAAGTATTTTACGTAATCATGTATTGTTTTAAATATATTTTTCGTAGCTTTTCTCATTAGATCAACTTAAGTATAACTGTGCCCATAATATGTTACTTCTCAATTCTTGTTCTGTCATACTGATATTGACATTAGCCTGTTGCTGTCAGCTCATAAACTGAGGCTGGCGAAAAGTAAATAAATATTATCTCAATTGGTTTTGCTAATTACTATACCAGTTCTACATTGGTTAATAAACAAATTATGTTTAACATATAGAATCGCTAAATCTCATTACTTTAAAATAATAATCTATAAGTGAATACAAAAGTTATAATATGAATTAAAACGTATTTAAAATGGAAAATACAGTTTTTATGGACAGTACAGTGTGCTGCATTTGTTTTGAAATCCAAAATGAAGTAATTCCATTACATACACAAGAATATGGGATTCCGCTCTACGAGAAACTATTGAACTATACAAACATTAATTTAAATATTGAAGACAGTAGAAAAGCTTTCATCTGCAGACAATGTATGAACGAATTAAAAGTATGTGTACAATTTTTAACTAAATGTTTAAAGGCCAGTGAATGGTTAAAACGTTCTAAGTCAACAGGTATTATTAATTATTACTTAATAGTTTACCTCATTTGACAATAAACATCAGTATATTTTGATTCTTTTTAATAAACAAAACTAGCTAAATTAAAAAGATTTATCAACACAATAAATCTATTTTTCAGTCAATGATATGCATCTGAATGGAGAGGCTTCTGAAAATTGTGAGACTGAATGTAATAATGACCTCACACAAGCCAGTGATGTTGAGGTCAAGCAGATAATTCATACAAGTAACGGAGATGTTAATAAAGAATCAGACTTCTCGTGTCAGTTCTGCTCTAAAGTATTTACTCGGAAGTTTAATCTGAAGTTACATGAGTAAGTATTATATATGATATCAATAGATTTGTATGTAGTATTTTTAACTGCCAAAAGAAAAAGAGTGTTGGTGTTAATAAAACTAATATATTAACCAGATTACTAGAGTTATTTTATTAGTTTTAAAACCACATATTATGTATTTTCACTCTACCCATGATCACAGTTGTTGCAAAGTAACTGAAATGCAAGGAATGTGTACTTAAAAAAAATAGAGTAACACATAGTAATTTTAAAATATTACTTTCATTTAAATGAATACTTGCCAAAAGTCTTAGATCTCACAGTGTTGATATAAGTTTGATATTGTTGTCTGTGTGTTCTTAAATGGATTACCTGGTTCAAATGGATTTTTTTATGAAAGCCAGTTTCCTTGTTTTGATTCTTTGTTAAGTGCTGTTTATAATCAGTTTAGAACACACAACACAGACTAGACAGTTTGGAAAAGTGATTACATATTCAAAGGCCTCATGTGTGCAAGTATATTTATTAAATGACAAATAATGTATAAAGGTCTTCTTTATATTAAAAAAAATATATATAATTAATTCTTTCTCTTTCTTCTATTCAGTCATTAATGAAGTAATTGTTATCTTCTGTCTATTCAATATTCCACAATTCATTAATGGTACTATCAGTTTGTCATTGATTCTTATTTAATTTATTCAAACAAAGTCCTTGTTTTTTCTGTCCCCTTACAACATAATACATACTAGCATCTTTAATAATTTATTAATCAACTTGTATGGTGAAAAATTTGTTTTTACTATCTGACATCTTCTAAATCTCTTTTCCAGACTGCGTCACATATCCTGTTCATACCCTGTCAAGACTCCCTCCAAGCCCGCTCGCTCGTGTCCCTTGTGTTCCAAGTCATACACCAGCTACACTAACCTCAAGGATCATATGAGAACACACACCGGTCAGTATTAACATCACTCTTGATAATATAAAGTGACATTCTTTATTATCAATCCAAAGACTCAGTTTCAGAAAATACATAGTCTAGCCATAAATATTGTTAAAAAAGTATCTTTTCTATTGCAAATAACATTTATTACTTTTACAGTATGTAAGTTTAATACATGAATATGAAACAATTTAAAACATTAGAAGCTTATTTGAGCTGCAAATCGCAATACAGTCCTTTAAATGTTGAGGTCAGTTATCAATACAAGCATTTTCACTCTTTCCATGGGAAAATTCTTCACTGCCAATCGTATGGATTGTTTTAGGAGGTCCAATTAATCATGGCTTTTAGAGCAAGCCCTACTCTTTAAAACTGACCATCTGAGCTTCCCTAGAGTTTTGAGCATAAATATGGTCATTTTGTTCGTTAAAATGTTGTTGAATTGTAAAAATTTCTTATCCGTAAACAAAAATTTTCTGTTTCCTCCCTTTGCGTACCGCTTCAGTAGTTGTACAGAATTCTTTCCCTACCTTTGACCATCTTTTTGGTTCGAACACTGATGGCCAGATATTTTTCTGTCACAAACAGAGGAGGTCTCATTGTACCTATTAATAGCTTGGTACACAAACATTTGACTAATGCCAAGCGTGTGGAAAGTTTTAAAAATTGCATTTGGCTCCATACACACTTTGTGTAATGCAATCACAGCTATTCGGTTCTCTTTATCACCCCACTCACCCACCCATTTTAATATCGCAACATATTGAACAATGTATTGGCGCCAAAATAAAAAAAACAATGAAAAATTATATAAAAAAGACAGATTCCAAATACAAATGTAATATTTTGTTTGTTTTTAATTGTAACAGTATTTATGGCCAGACTATGTATATAGACTCAGTATATGAGTCAAATGTATAATTATGATAGTGATCCATTAATACTATATTTGTTGTATTTCAGGTGAGAAACCTTTTGTGTGCTCCGACTGTGGGAAAGCTTTTGGAAGTAAAAAGATATTGACTGACCACATAAGAATACATACAGGTGAGGGTCATACACACACACACACAGATGTTTATTGACAATGTTTTTATTATGAAGTGATTACTCACATACATGTTTAATATTATAACTTGTTACTTTTATTACAAATAATATCACTATATCCTTATTTTTACATATTTTAAATATAAACATTTTAATTGAAATGCAAATCTAGCCCAATATAAATAAGGTTATATATATGTTTGAAGTTAAACTCAAACTCAAATAACTTTATTCAATATAGAAGCATTACACTTTCTTATTGATGGTCATTTGAGACACTACCACCGGTTCGGAAAAGAAAATACCCTGACCTGAGAAGAACCGGCGAAAGAAACTCAGCGGTTTTTTTTTAAATATATATATTTGTCTCATATAAGTATTATATACACAATTTAATATGAGAATAAATGTTCTGTATATATTGTTCTCTTCCTCTTTGTGTAGGTGTGAAGCCGTACATGTGTCCAGTGTGTGGGAAACAGTTCACAACCAACAAGCTGTCGGCCCACATGAAGACACACGAGGGACGAGTTTCTACCACAACCACGACCACCACGACCACAACAACCACGACCACAGAGCGAGGGCGACACGCGTGTACGATGTGTGTAGCGAGATACAACCACAAGCAGTCACTCAACAAACACATACGGAACACTCACGGACTGGTCAGTAGCTGCATACAAACATGATTGATAAATATTACTCAGACGAAACAGGAACTGCGATATACACTTATGATTGTGGTCTTAGACACAATCACACACATATAAACTTTCTTATTGCTTTGATAAATAGAATGTATAAATTACTTAATTACTGAAAACTAATAATGATATAACGTATTTTTGTCACAGCGCCATCTGTGTTGTGATGTAAGTACTACGTAGCAAACAAATAAACAGTACTAGTCACATCACAGAGATGGCGCTGAGCGTAAATGATTGGGAAGATTATTTTATCCGATCATTAAGATCATTTTTTGTTTCAGAATCCTTCCGAGGTGTGTAAGAGGAATGACGTGGTCGGGTTCACTTGAAGAAATAGTGTATAAAGATACAATGATACCAAAGATTGATTATGTTCCTGAAGGAAATGTAGTTTTTACTTTATAAGAAAGTGTGTTATGATCTTACTACGATAAATACTGGGAATCAATAGTATAGAGTTGTTTAAATAAACAAAGTTGCGTTGACTTGTAGATAATAAATCAATTATTGAGTAATAAATCTTAGATATATTATGCAGTATTTCAAGGTGAAAAACTTAAAATAATTTCTACTACACAAGGTAATACTAAAATTAACGAGTTAAAATGTATTGCTCTACTAGTATACATCAGAAGTTTCATAACTTAAAAACTTTGTTGTAGCTGCATTGCCAAAATTCCCCAAATTCGACAAAATATATTAATATTAGATCTGACCATGGGTGTGTTTGAGTTTCTAACCTCATATTGAATGTGAAGAAATTTTTTACATGAATAAATTACATCTTGTTCATATTATTGTTCAGTTCTTATTGGATTTAAATCAATAAATTTGAATAATAGGTGAAAAAAATTATATTCTATAAATTGTAATTAATGTTCACTAAATAAAGGTATTTTCTGCATAAAAATAAAACTATTAAATATATACAGGCTGACTGGTGAATTACTATCGATACTTGAGGACGTGATATTTGACGATCATATATGACAAAATAAAAATATATATATAACATAAATATTAATAAACTTCTAAGTAAAGTTAACCAAAAGTTATGTAATTAATTACGCATCGTGTGAACACCCTACAGATTAGGTATACACACACACACACTCACACACGCGCGGTGGGGACGTGGTTTTGTATCAGCACGCCACCGAACGCGTCCACACTTGGAACGTGTCAACACTTTATTTATTTATACGGAAATTTTGTCAAAAATTAAGTACCTATTTTTTTTTACATAATTCGAATGAGAATCATGTACCGAGTATTCTCCTTAAATATTGATAGTAATTCACCAGTCACCCTGTATAGTAATTAAACTTTTATTGACATACTCAACAAGACGTGCAAAATCAACTTTGAACAAACAACATATGTTAATTATAATTTTTGGTTTAAGTAATGTTAATAATCATTGGTAACACGGGCGGCTTCGCCCTAAGCAAACCATCCACGAATAACCCAGGTAAACAGAATATATTATGTTCGTTAAAAAACGTCTAGGGTCAATATGACCCACCGTCATTGGCGCCGGGTTAAGGAGATGGAAAAATTTTAAACGTTCTAAAGCCTACTGCGTTCTAGTTTTGTGCCTCGAGTTGATCTCCTTAGCCTTCAATACTATATCAATACATTTTTCTTCAAGCTCACGATTACATAACACCAATCTAGATTTTGTTGACTAATTCAGTATCGAATAAGGGATGGAAAATTTATAGCTCAAAGACGAATAGAAAAAATATTTTTTAATAGATTGAAAAAGTATTTTACATAATTATGTATTGTTTTAAATATATTTTTCGTAGCTTTACTCATTATATCAACTTAAATATACTACAGTTATTATTTTAATGTGCCTATAATATGTTACTTCTCAATTCTTGTTCTGTCATATTGATATTGACATTAGCCTGTTGCTGTCAGCTCATAAACTGAGGCTGGCGAAAAGTAAATAAATATTATCTCAATCGGTTTTGCTAATTACTATACCAGTTCTACATTGGTTAATAAACAAATTATGTTTAACATATAGAATCGCTAAATCTCATTACTTTAAAACAATAATCTATAAGTGAATACAAAAGTTATAATATGAATTAAACCGTATTTAAAATGGAAAATACAGTTTTTATGGACAGTACAGTGTGCTGCATTTGTTTTGAAATCCAAAATGAAGCAATTCCATTATATACACAAGAATATGGGATTCCGCTCTACGAGAAACTATTGAACTATACAAACATTAATTTAAATATTGAAGACAGTAGAAAAGCTTTCATCTGCAGACAATGTTTGAACGAATTAAAAGTATGTGTACAATTTTTAACTAAATGTTTAAAGGCCAGTGAATGTTTAAAACGTGCTAAATCAACAGGTATTATTAATTATTACTTAATAGTTTACCTCATTTGACAATAAACATCAGTATATTTTGATTCTTTTTAATAAACAAAACTAGCTAAATTAAAAAGATTTATCAACATAATAAATCTATTTTTCAGTCAATGATATGCATCTGAATGGAGAGGCTTCTGAAAATTGTGAGACTGAATGCAATAATGACTTCACCCAAGCCACTGATGTTGAGGTCAAGCAGATAATTCATACAAGTAATGGAGATGTTAATAAAGACTCAGACTTCTCGTGTCAGTTCTGTTCTAAAGTACAGTAGGACCTCGATTATCCGGACTAATTGTTGTCGGCAGGCATCCGGATAATTGAAAGTCCAAATAATCCAATATATGAAGAAAAACGGGCTTTTTGCATATGTACATATGTAGTCTGTACCATACATATGTAATGTTAGGTGTTTATTTAAAACAACAAATACATATGAGCGAAAATCAACGTTTATTAAGAAATTGTACACAATGTACGTATAATTTGCTTACAATAATTATGTGGCGTGCCGTTATGCAAGTTCTGACATGTTAATCTTCTTCTTTCTTTTATATACATACATATAAATGGATTGCTGTTCCTTAGTCTCGCTAAAACTCGAGAACGGCTGAACCGATTTGGCTAATTTTAGTCTTGAAATACTTGAAGTCCAGGGAAGGTTTAAAAGGTGAGAAAAATTGGAATAATTGCCGGGAAAACCCTAAAAACAGCCCTTTTCTATTTCCCATAAAAACGTTTTGTTGACATTAGATTTGACTACTAACTAATATGTCAATCATTCTGTTTGATTGAAATAGGAAAACCTGATTATTTATGGCCTATAAGAAGGAATAGAGTTCGCCTGGTCAGCTATACCTACATATATTACTCTTGACCAAACTAACGCGGACGAAGTCGCGGGCAAAAACTAGTGTTAGAATAAACTCGTCGCGATTGGCAATCCGGATAATCGCGAATTCGGATAACCGAGGTCCGGATAATCGGGGTCCTACTGTATTTACTCGGAAGTTTAATCTGAAGTTACATGAGTAGGTATTATATATGATATTAATTGATTTGTATTTAGTATTTTTAACTGCCAAAAGAAAAAGAGTGTTGGTGTAAATGAAACTAATATATTAACCAGATTACTAGAGTTATTTTATTAATTTTGAAACCACATACTATGTATTTCCACTCTACCCAAGATCACAGTTGTTGCAAAGTAACTGAAATGCAAGGAATGTGTACTTAAAAAAAATAGAGTAACACATAGTAATTTTAAAATATTACTTTCATTTAAATGAATACTTGCCAAAAGTCTTAGATCTCACAGTGTTGACATAAGTTTGATATTGTTGTCTGTGTGTTCTTAAATGGATTACCTGGTTCAAATGGATTTTTTTATGAAAGCCAGTTTCCTTGTTTTGATTCTTTGTTAAGTGCTGTTTATAATCAGTTTAGAACACACAGCACAGACTAGACAGTTTGGAAAAGTGATTACATATTCAAAGGCCTCATGTGTGCAAGTATATTTATTAAATGACAAATAATGTATAAAGGTCTTCTTTATATTAAAAAAAATATATATAATTAGTTCTTTCTCTTTCTTCTATTCAGTCATTAATGAAGTAATTGTTATCTTCTGTCTATTCAATATTCCACAGTTCATTAAGGATACTATCAGTTTGTCATTGATTCTAATTTAATTCATTCAAACAAAGTCCTTGTTTTTTCTGTCCCCTTACAATATAATACATACTAGCATCTTTAATAATTTATTAATCAACTTGTATGGTGAAAAACTTGTTTTCACTAGTGTATGAATTACTATCTGACATCTTCTAAATCTCTTTTCCAGACTGCGTCACATATCTTGTTCGTACCCTGTCAAGACTCCCTCCAAGCCCGCTCGCTCGTGTCCGTTGTGTTCCAAGTCATACACCAGCTACACAAACCTCAAGGATCACATGAGAACACACACCGGTCAGTATAGAGATTTTAAAGTGACACTCTATAATTTCAATCCAAAACTCAAATAACTTTATTCAATATAGAAGCATTACACTTTCTTATTGATGGTCATTTGAGACACTACCACCGGTTCGGAAAAGAAAATACCCCGACCTGAGAAGAAACGGCGAAAGAAACTCAGCGGGTTTTTTTTTTAATATATATATATTTGTCTCATATATTATATACACAATTTAATATGAGAAAAGACTCAGTTTCAGAAAATACATAGTCTAGCCATAAATATTGTTAAAGAAATATCTTTTCTATTGCGAATAACATTTATTGCTTTTACAGTATGTAAGTTTCATACATTTAAAGCTTATTTGAGGTGGTCTACATTGGCTGCAAATTGCAATACAGCCGTTTAAATGTTGAGGCCAGTTATCAATAGAAGCATGCACACTTTCCAGGGAAAAATTCTTCACTGCCAATCATATGGATTGTTTTAGGGAGTCCAAATTATCATGGCGTTTAGAGCAAGCCCTACTCTCTAAAACTGATCATAAATCATAATCCAGCAGATTAAGATCGGGACTAGACGACGGCCAATCTTTAGCCCTGATGAAGTCAGAAACGTTCGTTTCCAACCAAGACCATTGTTGGTTATTGAACATAGTGTTGTCAAGGGGCTTAACTACCTTCTCAAGAATGGTGTTTTGATACACTTGTGCTGTTTTGATAATGCCCACGTTGCACTCTGTCGACTAATTGAGTAAATACAATTATTTTGTTAGTTAAAATGTTGTCAATTGTAGAAATTTCCCATCCGTAAACAAAATTTTTCTGTGACCTCCGCTTCAGTAGTTGTATAGAATTATTTCCCTTACTGCTTTGACCACCTTTTTCCTTCGAACACTACGTGGACGGCCAGATATTTTTCTGTCACAATCAGAGGTACAATGAGACCTGTACCTATTAATAGCCCGGTACACAAACATTTGACTAATGCCAAGCGTGTGGAGAGTTTTAAAAATTGCATTTGGCTCCATACACACTTTGTGTAATGCAATCACAGCGATTCGGTTCTCTTTATCACCCCACTTCATTTTAATATCGCAAAATATTAACCAATGTATTGGATCCCAAAACAAACAATTAAAAATTATATAAAAATGAGAGATTCCAAATTCAAATGTAATATTTTGTTTATTTTTAATTGTAACAGTATTTATGGCCAGACTATGTATATAGACTCAGTATATGAGTCAAATGTATAATTATGATAGTGATCCATTAATACTATATTTGTTATATTTCAGGTGAGAGACCGTTTGTGTGCTCCGACTGTGGGAAAGCTTTTGGAAGTAAAAAGATATTGACTGATCACATAAGAATACATACAGGTGAGGGACACACACACACACAGAAATGAAATATTAGATGTTTATTGCCAATGACTTAATTATGATGTGATCACTCAAATACATATACTCAAATAGTTTCATTTTAAATAATAAAAATAATCTTCTTCTTCTATATATATAAAAATGGATTGCTGTTCTTTAGTCTCGCTAAAACTCGAGAACAGCTGAACAGATTTATCTTTTCTTAGTCTTGAAATGTTCGTGGAGGTTCAGGGAAGGTATAAAAGCTGAAAAAAATTGATTCATTACTGGGAAAACCATAAAAACAGCCCTTTTCTATTTCCCATACAAACGTTTTTTTTGACATTAGATTTGAAAACTAACTAATATGTCAATCATTCTGTCGCACTTCAAAATACGGAGATTTATGGCTTACAGGTAAACTCCAAAAATATAAATAAAAAAACGTAATAGATATTTCTTGATTATAGGGCGATACGAAGTTCGCCAGGTCTTCTAGTCTAGAATAAAAAATTATTTATTTTAAAATGCAAATCCAGCGCAATAGAAATAATATTATATTTCTATTGTGCTGGATGGATGCACGGTGAATCCATGGAATGCTGAGAAGTTTCGTCTCATCTCTATAGATGTTCAAAGTTCAATTAATGTTCTGTATTCATAATATTAGTTCTCCTCTTCTCTCTGTGTAGGTGTGAAGCCGTACATGTGTCCAATGTGTGGGAAACAGTTCACAACCAACAAGCTGTCGGCCCACATGAAAGCACACGAGGGACGAGCTTCTACCACAACCACGACCACCACGACCACAACAACCACGACCACGGAGCGAGGACGACACGCGTGTACGATGTGTGTAGCGAGATACAACCACAAGCAGTCACTCAACAAACACATACGGAACGCTCACGGACTGGTCCGTAGCTACATATAAACATGATTGATAAATATAACTCAAACGAAACAGGAACTGCGATATACACTTATGATTGTGGTCTTAGACACAATCACACACATATAAACTTTCTTATTACTTAACCCTTTGAGAAATAGAACGTATAAATTACTTCATTACTGAAAACTGATAACGCTATAAAGTATTTTTGGTCACAGCGCCATCTGTGTTATGAGTTAGTACTAACACATCACAGTATCACAAAACAGTACTAGACATATCACAGAGATGGCGCTGAGCGTAAATGATTGGGAAGATTATTTTATCCGATCATTTAAAGATCATTTTCTATTTCAGAATCCTTCCGAGGTGTGTAAGAGGAATGACGTTGTCGGGTTCACTTGAAGAAATAGTGTATAAAGATACAATGATACCAAAGATTGATTATGTTCCTGAAGGAAATATAGTTTTTACTTTATAAGAAAGTGTTTGATGATCTTACGATGATAAATATATGGGAAGCTAAATTATACAGTTATTTGAATAAACAAAGTCGCGTTGACCTGTAGCTAATAAATTAATTATTGAGTAATAAATCTTAGATATATTATGCAATATTTCAAGGTAAAAAACTTAAAATAATTTCTACTACACAAGGTATTATACTAAAATTAACGAGTTAAAATGTATTGCTGTACTAGTATACATCAGAAGTATCATAAAACTTTGTTGCAGCTGCATTTCCAAAGTTCCCCAAATTTGACAAAATATATTAATATTAGATCTGACCATGGGAGTGTTTGAGTTTCTAACCTCATATTGAATGTGAAGAAATTTTTTACATGAATACATTACATCTTGTTCATATTATTGTTCAATTCTTATTGGATTTAAATAAATGAATTTCAATAATAGGTGAAAAAATTTATATTCGTACCTTCCATAATAATACAATGCAAAAGTCACAAAAAAGTTTGTAATTATAACGTAGATATCGGCTTATTGTATGTAGTATGTTATTTTTATTAACTTGTTAGATTGTTTAGGTCAAGTGTTACGAGTTCAATAAGAACGACTGGTTATTATTTTAAGGAGATGGAAAATTTTTAAACGTTCTAAAGCCTTCTGCGTTCTAGTTTTGTGCCCCGAGATGATCTCCTTAGCCTTCAATACTATATCAATAAATATTTCTTCAAGCTCACTATTACGTAACACCAATCTAGATTTTGTTGACTAATTCAGCATCGAATAAGGGATGGAAAATTTATAGCTCAAATACGAATAGAAAAAATATTCTTTATAATTTGAAAAATTATTTTACATATCATGTATTGTTTTAACTTTTAAATATATTTTTCGTAGCTTTTCTCATTATATCAATTTAAATTCAACTACAGTTATTGTTTTAATGTGCCCATAATATCCTACTTCTCAATTCTTGTTCTGTCATATTGATATTGACATTAGGGTGTTGCTGTCAGCTCATAAACTGAGGCTGGCGAAAGCAAATAAATATTATCTCAATTGGTTTTGATAATTACAATACCAGTTCTACATTGGTTAATAAACAAATTATGTTTAACATATAGAATCGCTAAATCTCATTACTTTAAAATAATAATCTATAAGTGAATACAAAAGTTATAATATGAATTAAACCGTATTTAAAATGGAAAATACAGTTTTTATGGACAGTACAGTGTGCTGCATTTGTTTTGAAATCCAAAATGAAGCAATTCCATTATATTCACAAGAATATGGGATTCCGCTCTACGAGAAACTATTGAACTATACAAACATTAATTTAAATATTGAAGACAGTAGAAACGCTTTCATCTGCAGACAATGTATGAATGAAGTAAAAGTATGTGTACAATTTTTAACTAAATGTTTAAAGGCCAGTGAATGTTTAAGACGTGCTAAGTCAACAGGTATTATTCATTATTACTTAATAGTTTACCTCATTTGACAATAAACATCAGTATATTTTGATTCTTTTTAATAAACAAAACTAACTTAACTAAAAAGTTTAATCAACATACTTAATGTATTTTTCAGTCAATGATATGCATCTGAATGGACAGGCTTCTGAAAATTGTGAGACTGAATGTAATAATGACATCACACAAGTCAGTCATGTTGAGGTCAAGCAGATAATTCATACAAGTAATGGAGATGTTAATAAAGACTCAGACTTCTTGTGTTAGTTCTGTTCTAAAGTATTTACTCGGAAGTTTAATCTGAAGTTACATGAGTAGGTATTATATATGATATCAATGGATTTGTATTTAATATTTTTAACTGCTATAAAGAGTGTTGGTATAAATGAAACTAATATATTCAGATTATTATTTAAACATACATATTACATTTCCTCTACCCGTGATCACAGTTGAAGCAATTTTTTTTCTAAATAATTGTATAACACATAGTATTCTGAAAATATTAGTGTCATTTAAATGAATACTTGCCAGACTCAATGCTTTTTATATGAAAGTTGATTTACTTCTAATGATATAAGTATCTTAACTAAGGTTAAGTTCCTTTTTTAATTTTGCAGCAGTCTAAGAGTATCAGATCGGTTCTAAAATTAAGTAGAACATTTTTGGCCATTTATTACATATTTAAAGTTTTTGTGTCCAAATATAATTGTTCAATGAATATGAATGTTGGGGTTTTTAAATTATATAAAGTTGTAATAAAATCTTCTTACATCTCCTAATAAGTCATTAATGAAATAATAGTTACTTGTGTGTATTAATAATGTTGTCAATGTGACTAATCTTCTGTCTGTTCAATATTCCACAGTTTTTAATGGTACTATCAGTTTGCTTTTTATTCATATTTAATTCATACAAAATCCTTGTTTTATTCTGTTCCCTCACTGATGATCTAATTTCTTCTAATCTCTTTTCCAGACTGCGTCACATATCTTGTTTGTACCCTGTCAAGACTCCCTCCAAGCCCGCTCGCTCGTGTCCGTTGTGTCCCAAGTCATACACCAGCTACTCTAACCTCAAGGATCATATGAGAACACACACCGGTCAGTATTAACATCACTCTCTGTAATATTCAATAAAACTGTATTAACTTCATTGTGTATGTATTATGCTAAGTAACAAACTGAATGACAGCAACTAATATAATAAAGTGATCTATAGTCTTTTTACTTAAGCTGAGATATGCATTTGTTGGAGTGAAAGTAAAAGTAGAGTTAGATAAAAATTAAAAACCTTTTAGAATTAAATTGTATTATATTTTGTAATATATACATAAGATAAGTGCTGAAGCTTTTCTACTAGTACTATCCACTATCCACCACTATATACAGGGTGACTGGTGAATTACTATCAATATTTAAGGAGAATACTCGGTACATGATTCTCATTCGAATTATGTAAAAAAAATAGGCACTTAATTTTTGACAAAATTTCCGTATAAATAAATAAAGTGTTGACACGTTCCAAGTGTGGACGTGTGGGGCGGCGTGCTGATACAACACTACGCCGCCGCACGCGTATGTGTGTGTGAGTGTATACCTAATCTGTAGGGTGTGCACACGATGCGTAATTAATTACATAACTTTTGGTTAACTTTACTTAGAAGTTTATTAATATTTATGTTATATTAATTTTTATTTTGTCATATATGATCGTCAAATATCACGTCCTCAAGTATCGATAGTAATTCACCAGTCACCCTGTATAAGTGCACTCGTGCGCTGAACCACCAATTCAAAAGTTTAAAAAAATTACAAAATATTGCTTAAAACTAATATCTCGTGCGCTTCGGCGAGTGCACGAGGACTGCTAATACATCTTGTATGAGATACGAAATAATACGCCTGACGCGTGAAACAAAAGATAGTTCATAGAAATGTACCGAATAATGAGTCGGTTCTCGAGCGCCGCACGAGCGGCCGAAGATTACCGAGAGCACCCGATGTATGACGAATTGAGCCGTGATTGACATCTCGTTATGTTTTGTTGCATTTTCTAATTTAAATATTTTAGTAAACTGCACCACCGGTTCGATTACCCACCAGCCGCCACTGATTAAATGTATACTTGTTATATTTCAGGTGAGAGACCTTTCGTGTGCTCTGACCGTAGGAAAGCTTTTGGAAGTAAAAAGATATTGACTGATCACATGAGAAACATACAGGTGAGGGTCACACACACACACACTGAAATAAAATATTAGATGTTTAATGATAATGACTTTATTATGAAGTGAATTGTGATCACTCAAATACATATACATGTACTCAAATAGTTTCATTTTAAATAATAAAAATAATCTAGAATAAAAAATTATTTATTTTAAAATGCAAATTCCACCACAATAGAAATAATATTATATATATATTATATATATAGATGTTCAAAGTTAAATAAATGTTCTGTATTCATAATATATTGTTCTCCTCCTCTTTCTGTGTAGGTGTGAAACGGTACATGTGTCCAGTGTGTGCGAAACAGTTCACTACCAACAAGCTGTCGGCCCACATGAAGACACACGAGGGACGAGCTCCTACCACAACCACGACCACGACCACCACGACCACGGAGCGAGGACGACACGCGTGTACGATGTGTGTAGCGAGATACAACCACAAGCAGTCACTCAACAAACACATACGGAACACTCACGGACTGGTTGGTAGCTACATATAAACATGATTGATAAATATAACTCAAGCGAAACAGGAACTGCGATATACACTCATGATTGTGGTCTTAGACACCATCACACGCATATACATTTTCTTATTACTTAACCCTTTGAGAAATAGAATGTATAAATTACTTAATTACTGAAAACTAATATGTAATGCTATAAAGTATTTTTGGTCACAGCGCCATCTGTGTTGTGATATAAGTACTACGTAGCAAACAAATAAACAGTACTAGTCACATCACAGAGATGGCGCTGAGCGTAAATGATTGGGAAGATTATTTTATCCGATCATTAAGATCATTTTTTGTTTCAGAATCCTTCCGAGGTGTGTAAGAGGAATGACGCGGTCGGGTTCACTTGAAGAAATAGTGTATAAAGATACAATGATACCAAAGATTGATTATGTTCCTGAAGCAAACGTAGTATTTCTTTATAAGAAAGTGTTTGATAATCTTACGATAATAAATATAATATGGTAATCAATACTACAGAGTTGTTTGAATAAACAAAGTTGCGTTGACCTGTAGATAATAAATCAATTATTAAGTAATAAATCTTTAAAAAATGCAGTATTTCAAGGTGAAAAACTTAAAATAATTTCTACTACACATGATAATACTAAAATTTAACATGTTAAAATATATTGCTATACTAGTATACACCAGAAGTATCATAACTTCAAAAACTTTGTTGCAGCTGCATTTCCAAAGTTCCACAAATTTGACAAAATATATTAATATTAGATCTGACCATGGGAGTGTTTGAGTTTATAACCTCATATTGAATGTGAAGAAATTTTTTACATGAATACATTACATCTTGTTCATATTATTGTTCAATTCTTATTGGATTTAAATAAATGAATTTCAATAATAGGTGAAAAAATTTATATTCGTACCTTTAATAATAACACCTACAATGCAAAAGTCACAAAAAAGTTTGCAATTATAACACAGCGTAGATATCAGTTTTATGTAGGTATGTAGTATGTTATTTTATTAACTTAGAATGTTAGTGAGATTGTTTAGGTCAAGTGTTACGCGTTCAATTAGAACGGCTGGTTATTATTTTAAGGAGATGGAAAATTTTTAAACGTTCTAAAGCCTACTGCGTTCTAGTTTTGTGCCTCGAGTTGATCTCCTTAGCCTGCAATACTATATCAATAAATCTTTCTTCAAGCTCACGATTACATAACACCAATCTAGATTTTGTTGACTAATTCAGCATCGAATAAGGGATGGAAAATTTATATCTCAAATGCGAATAGAAAAAATATTCTTTATAATTTGAAAAATTATTTTACATATCTTGTATTGTTTTAAATATATTTTTCGTAGCTTTTCTCATTAAATCAATTTAAATTTATCTACAGTTATTGTTTTAATGTGCCTATAATATCCTACTTCTCAATTCTTGTTCTGTCATATTGATATTGACATTAGAGTGTTGCTGTCAGCTCATAAACTGAGGCTGGCGAAAGTAAATAAATATTATCTCAATTGGTTTTGCTAATTGTTACTCATGTTCTACATTGGTTAATAAACAAATTATGTTTAACATATAGAATCGCTAAATCTCATTACTTTAAAATTATAATCTATAAGTGAATACAAGAGTTGTATGAATTAAACCGTATATAAAATGGAAAATACAGTTTTTATGGACAGTACAGTGTGCTGGATTTGTTTTGAAATTCAAAATGAAGCAATTCCATTGCATACACAAGAATATGGGATTCCGCTCTACGAGAAACTATTGAACTATACAAACATTAATTTAAATATTGAAGACAGTAGAAAAGCTTTCATCTGCAGACAATGTATGAACGAATTAAAAGTATGTGTACAATTTTTAACTAAATGTTTAAAGGCCAGTGAATGTTTAAAACGTGCTAAATCAACAGGTATTATTAATTATTACTTAATAGTTTACCTCATTTGACAATAAACATCAGTATATTTTGATTTTTTTAATAAACAAAACTAGCTAAATTAAAAAGATTTTTCAACATAATAAATCTATTTTTCAGTCAATGATGTACATCTGAATGGAGAGGCTTCTGAAAATTGTGAGACTGAATGTAATAATGACATCACACAAGCAAGTGATGTTGAGGTCAAGCAGATAATTCATACAAGTAATGGAGATGTTAATAAAGACTCAGACTTCTCGTGTCAGTTCTGCTCTAAAGTATTTACTCGGAAGTTTAATCTGAAGTTACATGAGTAGGTATTATATATGATATCAAGTGATTTGTATTTAGTATTTTTAACTGCCATAACGAGTGTTGGTATAAATGAAACTAATATTTTTGGACTACTATGTGTTATTTTATTATTTTTAAAACTACATACTATATTTCTACCCATGATCACAGTTGAAGCAATTTTTTTCTAATTAATAGTATAATACATAGTATTCTAAAAATATAGGTGTCATGTCAAAGTGTCAAGACACACGAGGGACGAGCTCCTACCACAACCACGACCACCACGACCACGGAGCGAGGACGACACGCGTGTACGATGTGTGTAGCGAGATACAACCACAAGCAGTCACTCAACAAACACATACGGAACACTCACGGACTGGTTGGTAGCTACATATAAACATGATTGATAAATATAACTCAAGCGAAACAGGAACTGCGATATACACTCATGATTGTGGTCTTAGACACCATCACACGCATATACATTTTCTTATTACTTAACCCTTTGAGAAATAGAATGTATAAATTACTTAATTACTGAAAACTAATATGTAATGCTATAAAGTATTTTTGGTCACAGCGCCATCTGTGTTGTGATATAAGTACTACGTAGCAAACAAATAAACAGTACTAGTCACATCACAGAGATGGCGCTGAGCGTAAATGATTGGGAAGATTATTTTATCCGATCATTAAGATCATTTTTTGTTTCAGAATCCTTCCGAGGTGTGTAAGAGGAATGACGCGGTCGGGTTCACTTGAAGAAATAGTGTATAAAGATACAATGATACCAAAGATTGATTATGTTCCTGAAGCAAACGTAGTATTTCTTTATAAGAAAGTGTTTGATAATCTTACGATAATAAATATAATATGGTAATCAATACTACAGAGTTGTTTGAATAAACAAAGTTGCGTTGACCTGTAGATAATAAATCAATTATTAAGTAATAAATCTTTAAAAAATGCAGTATTTCAAGGTGAAAAACTTAAAATAATTTCTACTACACATGATAATACTAAAATTTAACATGTTAAAATATATTGCTATACTAGTATACACCAGAAGTATCATAACTTCAAAAACTTTGTTGCAGCTGCATTTCCAAAGTTCCACAAATTTGACAAAATATATTAATATTAGATCTGACCATGGGAGTGTTTGAGTTTATAACCTCATATTGAATGTGAAGAAATTTTTTACATGAATACATTACATCTTGTTCATATTAATGTTCAATTCTTATTGGATTTAAATAAATGAATTTCAATAATAGGTGAAAAAATTTATATTCGTACCTTTAATAATAACACCTACAATGCAAAAGTCACAAAAAAGTTTGCAATTATAACACAGCGTAGATATCAGTTTTATGTAGGTATGTAGTATGTTATTTTATTAACTTAGAATGTTAGTGAGATTGTTTAGGTCAAGTGTTACGCGTTCAATTAGAACGGCTGGTTATTATTTTAAGGAGATGGAAAATTTTTAAACGTTCTAAAGCCTACTGCGTTCTAGTTTTGTGCCTCGAGTTGATCTCCTTAGCCTGCAATACTATATCAATAAATCTTTCTTCAAGCTCACGATTACATAACACCAATCTAGATTTTGTTGACTAATTCAGCATCGAATAAGGGATGGAAAATTTATATCTCAAATGCGAATAGAAAAAATATTCTTTATAATTTGAAAAATTATTTTACATATCTTGTATTGTTTTAAATATATTTTTCGTAGCTTTTCTCATTAAATCAATTTAAATTTATCTACAGTTATTGTTTTAATGTGCCTATAATATCCTACTTCTCAATTCTTGTTCTGTCATATTGATATTGACATTAGAGTGTTGCTGTCAGCTCATAAACTGAGGCTGGCGAAAGTAAATAAATATTATCTCAATTGGTTTTGCTAATTGTTACTCATGTTCTACATTGGTTAATAAACAAATTATGTTTAACATATAGAATCGCTAAATCTCATTACTTTAAAATTATAATCTATAAGTGAATACAAGAGTTGTATGAATTAAACCGTATATAAAATGGAAAATACAGTTTTTATGGACAGTACAGTGTGCTGGATTTGTTTTGAAATTCAAAATGAAGCAATTCCATTACATACACAAGAATATGGGATTCCGCTCTACGAGAAACTATTGAACTATACAAACATTAATTTAAATATTGAAGACAGTAGAAAAGCTTTCATCTGCAGACAATGTATGAACGAATTAAAAGTATGTGTACAATTTTTAACTAAATGTTTAAAGGCCAGTGAATGTTTAAAACGTGCTAAATCAACAGGTATTATTAATTATTACTTAATAGTTTACCTCATTTGACAATAAACATCAGTATATTTTGATTTTTTTAATAAACAAAACTAGCTAAATTAAAAAGATTTTTCAACATAATAAATCTATTTTTCAGTCAATGATGTACATCTGAATGGAGAGGCTTCTGAAAATTGTGAGACTGAATGTAATAATGACATCACACAAGCAAGTGATGTTGAGGTCAAGCAGATAATTCATACAAGTAATGGAGATGTTAATAAAGACTCAGACTTCTCGTGTCAGTTCTGCTCTAAAGTATTTACTCGGAAGTTTAATCTGAAGTTACATGAGTAGGTATTATATATGATATCAAGTGATTTGTATTTAGTATTTTTAACTGCCATAACGAGTGTTGGTATAAATGAAACTAATATTTTTGGACTACTATGTGTTATTTTATTATTTTTAAAACTACATACTATATTTCTACCCATGATCACAGTTGAAGCAATTTTTTTCTAATTAATAGTATAATACATAGTATTCTAAAAATATAGGTGTCATTTATATGAATACTTGCCAGACTCAATGCTTTTTATATGAAAGTTAATTTTCTTCTAATGATATAAGTAACTTAACTAATGTTAAGTTTCTTTTTTAATTTTCCAGCAGGCTAAGATTATCAGATCGGTTTTAAAATTAAGTACAACAGTTTTGGCCATTTATTACATATTTAAAGTTTTCATGTGTCCAAATATAATTGTTCAATGACTCTGAATGTATAGAGGTTTTTTAAATTATATAAAGTTGTAATAAAATCTTCTTACATCTCCTTATAAGTCATTAATTAAATAATAGTTACTTGTGTGTATTGATAATCTTGTCAATGTGACTAATCTTCTGTCTGTTCAATATTCCACAGTTTTTAATGGTACTATCAGTTTGCTTTTTATTCATGTTTAATTCATACAAAGTGCTTGTTTTTTTTGTTCTGTTCTGTTATTGTTGTTGTTTTCTCTTTTCTGTTCCCTTACTGATGATCTAAAGCCTTCTAATCTCTTTTCCAGACTGCGTCACATATCTTGTTCATACCCTGTCAAGACTCCCTCCAAGCCCGCTCGCTCGTGTCCCTTGTGTTCCAAGTCATACACCAGCTACACGAACCTCAAGGATCACATGAGAACACACACCGGTCAGTATTAACATCACTCTCTGTAGTATTCAATAAAACTGTATTAACTTCATTGTGTATGTATTATGCTAAGTAACAAACTGAATGACAGTAACTAATATAATAAAGTGATCTATAGTCTTTTACTTAAGCTGAGATTTGCATTTGTGTGAGTGAAAGTAAAAGTAGAGTTAGATAAAAACCTTTTAGAATTAAATTGTATTATATTTTGTAATATATACATAAGATAAGTGCTGAAGCTTTTCTACTAGTACTATCTACTATCCGATCCAATTTACTAATATTAAATGTATATATTTGTTATTTTTCAGGTGAGAGACCGTTTGTGTGCTCCGACTGTGGGAAAGCTTTTGGAAGTAAAAAGATATTGACTGACCACATAAGAATACATACAGGTGAGGGTCACACACACACATGCACACACAGACACACACACAAACACCCCCACCCCAAATGATGATGACATTACTCAAATGAGATGTATTTATATGAAATAATAGATGTTTATTCATAATGACTATACTATCAAGTCATTGATCATATAAATGTTTAATATTATCACTCTTCTTCTTCTTCCTGGCAATTTCCCAGCTTTAGCCAGGGTCTGCCTTACATGTTGTAAATAGTTTTAGTTAATTGTTTTTTCGACCGGGCCCTTGATTGCTCAAGACGGGTTGGTGATTTCAAACTTATAATTGTGAAATTATAAATCCAGGTTTCCTCACGATATTTTCCTTCACCGTCTATCAGTGGTGTCTAAATACTCTTAGAAACTACATATGACTCGGAAAAATCGCATTGGTCCTTGCCAGGATCAAACCCGCGTTCTCATGCATGAGAGACGGGTCTTTTAACGACTAGGCCACTAGTGACTAATATTATCACTAGTTACTTTTATTAAAAATTATATCACAATATCCTTCATTTCCCATATTTTATAGGTAGATAAGTACAGTTAAATTTTAATAATTAAATGATTTATTTTGCAATGCAAATACCACCACAAGAGAAATCTATACTAATATTATAAAGCTGAAGAGTTTGTTTGTTTGTTTGTTTGAAAGCGCTAATCTCCGAAACTACTGGTTCGGATTGAATAATTCTTTTTGTGTTCGATAGTCCACTTTTAGAGGAAGGCTGTGGGCTATATAACATCACGCTACGACCAATAGGAGCAAAGATATTGTGGTAAATGTGTAAAAAACGGGAGAAATTATTTCATCTTTGAAGCCTTCCGTTGCGTGCGCCGTGAAAACGGTTCAAGATACACAAAAAATATGTATCAATGAATAATAGCTCTTTTAATGATCTAAAAAACAGTCCACGACAGTATATGTCTATCTTTTAAGATTAACTCACAAAAACCGTTTTTATGGTACCTAATTTTGTTTAAGTTGCATCAACATAATAATATTAATCTTTATTCAAATAAACAAAAGCTAATAATAAAATATTACTAGATTTTGCCGCGACTTCGTCCACGTGGAATAGTGACTTCCGGCAGATTTTTGGTTCTTCCCACATAGTTCCCGTTTTTGCGGGGTTTTCAGAATGGTCGAGTTCCCGTAGAATTTTCAGGATAAAACTTATGTTTTTTTTTATTCACAATGAAGTACTCTTAACCAACAACATATTTATTTGTTTATTTGAATAAATATTAATATTATTATGTTGATACAAATTAAACAAATTATTTCGACCAAATTAGGTACCATAAAAACGGTTTTTGCGAGTTAATCTTAAAAGATAGACATATACTGTTGGGGACTGTTTTTTAGATCATTAAAAGAGCTATTATTCTCTAATACATATTTTTTGTGTATCTTGAACCGTTTTCACGGCGCACGCAACGGAAGGCTTCAAAGATGAAATAATTTCTCCCGTTTTTTACACATTTACCACTATATCTTTGCTCCTATTGGTCGTAGCGTGATGTTATATAGCCCACAGCCCTCCTCGATAACTGAACTATCCAACACAAAAGGAATTATTTAATTCGAACCAGTAGTTTCGGAGATAAGCGCTTTCAAACAAACAAACAAAAAAACTCTTCAGCTTTATAATATTAGTATAGATATAGACTGGAAGACCCGGCGAACTTCGAATCGCCCTATAATCAAGAAATAGCTGTTACGTTTTATTTCTTTATATTTTTGGAGTTTACCTATTAAAGCCATAAATCTCCGTGTTTTGAAGTGCGACAGAATTATTGACATAAGAGTTGTCAAATCTAATGTCAAAAAAAAGTTTGTATCAACAACTACTAATAAATTAAAAATTAATTAAAAAAACATTGTCCAGCGGACAAAATTATGAATCTAAACAATTTCCAGATCCCCTTGAACACACACAAAAACTTTCATCAAAATCGGTCCAGTCGTTTGAGAGAAGTTCAGTGACATACACACTCACAGAAGAATTTTATAAATATAGATGTTTAAAGTTCAATAAATGTTCTGTATTCATAATATTAGTTCTCCTCCTCTCTCTGTGTAGGTGTGAAGCCGTACATGTGTCCAGTGTGTGGGAAACAGTTCACTACCAACAAGCTGTCCGCCCACATGAAGACACACGAGGGACGAGCTCCTACCACAACCACGACCACCACGACCACAACAACCACGACCACGGAGCGAGGACGACACGCGTGTACGATGTGTGTAGCGAGATACAACCACAAGCAGTCACTCAACAAACACATACGGAACACTCACGGACTGGTCAGTAGCTGCATACAAACATGATTGATAAATATAACTCAAACGAAACAGGAACTGCGATATACACTCATGATTTTGTATTAGACACACTCAAACACATATAAATTTTCTTATTACTTAACCCTTTGAGAAATAGAATGTATAAATTACTTAACTACTGAAAACTATTAATGCTATAAAGTATTTTTTTATAGACGCCATCTGTGTTATGATGTAAGTACTAAGTAGCTAACAAACAGTACTAAAGACATCGCACACAGATGGCGCTGTGCGCAAATGATAGTGAAGATTATTTTATTTTCTGTTTTAGAATCCTTCCGCGGTGTGTAAGAGGAATGACATGGTCGGGTTCACTTGAAGAAATAGTCTATAAGGATAAAATGATACCAAAGATTGATTATGTTCCTGAAGGAAATGTAGTTTTTACTTTATAAGAAAGTGTTTGATGATCTTTCGATGATAAATATATGGGAAGCTAAATTATACAGTTATTTGAATAAACAAAGTCGCGTTGACCTGTAGCTAATAAATCAATTATTGAGTAATAAATCTTAGATATATTATGCAGTATTTCAAGGTGAAAAACTTAAAATAATTTCTACTACACAAGGTAATACTAAAATTTAACATGTTAAAATATATTGTAATACTAGTATACATCAGAAGTTACATAACTTTAAAAACTTTGTTGTAGCTGCATTGCCAAAATTCCCCAAATTCGACAAAATATATTAGTATTAGATCTGACCATGGGAGTGTTTGAGTTTCTAACCTCATATTGAATGTGAAGAAATTTTTTACATGAATAAATTACATCTTGTTCATATTATTGTTCAATTCTTATTGGATTTAAATAAATAAATTTCAATAATAGGTGAAAAAATTTATATTCGTACCTTTAATAATAATACAATGCAAAAGTCAGAAAAAAGTTTGCAATTAGGTATAACATAGCGTATATATCGGCTTTATGTATGCAGTATGTTATTTTTATTAACTTAGAATGTTAGTGAGATTGTTTAGGTCAAGTGTTACGCGTTCAATTAGAACGGCTGGTTATTATTTTAAGGAGATGGAAAATTTTTAAACGTTCTAAAGCCTACTGCGTTCTAGTTTTGTGCCTCGAGTTGATCTCCTTAGCCTTCAATACTATATCAATACATTTTTCTTCAAGCTCACTATTACGTAACACCAATCTAGATTTTGTTGACTAATTCAGCATCGAATAAGGGATGGAAAATTTATAGCTCAAATACGAATAGAAAAAAATATTCTTTATAATTTGAAAAAAGTATTTTACGTAATCATGTATTGTTTTAAATATATTTTTCGTAGCTTTTCTCATTACATCAACTTAAGTATAACTGTGCCCATAATATGTTACTTCTCAATTCTTGTTCTGTCATACTGATATTGACATTAGCCTGTTGCTGTCAGCTCATAAACTGAGGCTGGCGAAAAGTAAATAAATATCATCTCAATTGTTTTTGCTAATTACTATACCTTTTCTACATTGGTTAATAAACAAATTATGTTTAACATATAGAATCGCTAAATCTCATTACTTTAAAATTATAATCTATAAGTGAATACAAGAGTTGTATGAGTTAAACCGTATTTAAAATGGAAAATACAGTTTTTATGGACAGTACAGTGTGCTGCATTTGTTTTGAAATTCAAAATGAAGTAATTCCATTACGTACACAAGAACATGGGATCCCGTTCTACGAGAAACTATTGAACTATACAAACATCAATTTAAATATTGAAGACAGTAGAAAAGCTTTCATCTGCAGACAATGTATGAATGAATTAAAAGTATGTGTACAATTTTTAACTAAATGTTTAAAGGCCAGTGAATGTTTAAAACGTGCTAGGTCAACAGGTATTATCCATTATTAATTATTAGTTTACCTCATTTGATCATTAAAAAAAGTGAGAATTATATATGATGTTGAGGTCAAGCAGATAATTCATACATGTGACGGAGATGTTAATAAAGACTCAGACTTCTCGTGTCAGTTCTGCTCTAAAGTATTTACTCGGAAGTTTAATCTGAAGTTACATGAGTAGGTATTATATATGATATCAATTGATTTGTATTTAGTATTTTTAACTGCTATAAAGAGTGTTGGTATAAATGAAACTAATATTTTTGTACTACTATGTGTTATTTTATTATTTTTAAAACTACATACTATATTTCTACCCATGATCACAGTTGAAGCGATTTTTTTCTAAATAATAGTATAATACATAGTATTCTGAAAATATAGGTGTCATTTATATGAATACTTGCCAGACTCAATGCTTTTTATATGAAAGTTGATTTTCTTCTCATGATATAAGTAACTTAACTAAGGTTAAGTTTCTTTTTTAATTTTCCAGCAGTGTAAGAGTATCAGATCGGTTTCAAAATTAAGTAGAACAGTTTTGGCCATTTATTACATATTTAAATTTTTCATGTGTCGAAGTATAATTGTTCAATGACTATGAATGTATAGAGGTTTTTTAAATTATATTAAGTTGTAATAAAATCTTCTTACATCTTTTTTTAAGTCATTAATTAAATAATAGTTACTTGTGTGTATTAATAATGTTGTCAATGTGACTAATCTTCTGTCTGTTCAATATTCCACAGTTTTTAATGGTACTATCACTTTGCTTTTTATTCATATTTAATTCATACAAAGTCCTTGTTTTTTTCTGTTCCCTCACTAATCATTTAAAGCCTTCTAATCTCTTTTCCAGACAGAGTCACATATCTTGTTTGTACCCTGTCAAGACTCCCTCCAAGCCCGCTCGCTCGTGTCCGTTGTGTTCCAAGTCATACACCAGCTACACAAACCTCAAGGATCACATGAGAACACACACCGGTCAGTATTAACATCACTCTCTGTAGTATTCAATAAAACTGTATTAACTTTAACATGTATGTATTGTTCTAAAATCTAAGTAACAAAGTGAATGACAGCAACTAATATAATAAAGTGATCTATAGTCCGTTATACTTAAACTGAGCTTTGCTTTTATGTGAGTGAAAGTAAAAGTAGAGCTAAATAAAAACCTTTTAGAATTAAATTGTGTTATATTTTAAATATATTGTATGTTCTTTATGAGGAAAGAAAGTTCTTTAACCACATATATGTATACATAAGATAGGTGTTAAAGCTTTTCTACTACTACTATCCGATCCAATCCACTAATATTAAATGTATATTTGTTGTATTTCAGGTGAGAGACCGTTTGTGTGCTCCGACTGTGGGAAAGCTTTTGGAAGTAAAAAGATATTGACAGACCACATAAGAATACATACAGGTGAGGGTCATACACACACATGCTGATGGGGTTACTCAAATGAGATGTATTAATAAATAATAGTTGTTTATTCATAATGACTATACTATCAAGTAATTGCTCATATAAATGTTTAATATTGTCACTCTTCCCCTTCATATTCTACCTGGCAATTCCCCAGCTTTAGCCAGGGTCTGCGTTCCATGTTGTAAATAGTTTTGGCTAATTGTTTTTACGACCGGGCGCCTGCCTGATATCAACAATCTTTGGAAATGAATTAATCACCACACTTGCTCAAGACGGGTTGGTGATTTCAAACTTTTTATTGTGAAATTATAAGTCCAGGTTTCATCACGATGTTTTTCTTCAGCGCCTGTCAGTGATGTCTAAATCCTCTTAGAAAATACATATGACTCGGAAAAATCACATTGGTACTTGCCAGGATCAAACCCGCGTACTCATGCATGAGAGACGGGTCTTTTAACTACTAGGCCACCACTGACTAATATTATCACTAGTTGCTTTTATTAAAAATTATATCACAACATCCTTAATTTCCCATATTTTATAGGTAGATAAGTAGTTAAATTTTTATAAATAAATGATTTATTTTGCAATGCAAATTCCGCCACAATAGAAATAATATTATATTATACAGGGTGACTGGTGAATTCCTATCGATACTTGAGGACGTGATATTTGACGATCATATATGACAAAATTAAAATTAAAATAACATAAATATTAATAAACCTCTAAGTAAAGTTAACCAAAAGTTATGTAATTAATTACGCATCATGTGAACACCCTACAGATTAGGTATACACACACACACACACACACACACACACACACACACACACACACACACACACACACACACACACACACACACACATACGCGTGCGGCGGCGTGGTGTTGTATCAGCACGCCGCCGCACGCGTCCACTCTTGGAACGTGTCAACACTTTATTTATTTATACGGAAATTTTGTCAAAAATTAAGTACCTATTTTTTTTACATAATTCGAATAAGAATCATGTACCGAGTATTCTCCTTAAATATTGATAGTAATTCACCAGTCACCCTGTATATAGATGTTAAAGGTTCAATAAATTTTCTGTATTCATATTGTTAGTTCTCCTCTTCTCTCTGTGTAGGTGTGAAGCCGTACATGTGTCCAGTGTGTGGGAAACAGTTCACTACCAACAAGCTGTCCGCCCACATGAAGACACACGAGGGACGAGCTTCTACCACAACCACGACCACCACGACCACAACAACCACGACCACGGAGCGAGGACGACACGCGTGTACGATGTGTGTAGCGAGATACAACCACAAGCAGTCACTCAACAAACACATACGGAACACTCACGGACTGGTCAGTAGCTGCATACAAACATGATTGATAAATATTACTCAGACGAAACAGGAACTGCGATATACACTCATGATTTCCTATTAGACACACTCAAACACATATAAATTTTCTTATTACTTAACCCTTTGAGAAATAGAATGTATAAATTACTTAATTACTGAAAACTAATAATGCTGTAAATTATTTTTGTCACAGCGCCATCTGTGTTGTGATGTAAGTACTAACACATCACAGTAATTCAAAACAGTACTAAAGGCATCACACAGATGGCGCTGTAAGTAAATGATAGTGAAGATTATTTTATTTTCTGTTTTAGAATCCTTCCGCGGTGTGTAAGAGGAATGACATGGTCGGGTTCACTTGAAGAAATAGTCTATAAGGATAAAATGATACCAAAGATTGATTATGTTCCTGAAGGAAATGTAGTTTTTACTTTAAGAGAAAGTGTTTGATGATCTTACGATGATAAATATATGGGAAGCTAAATTATACAGTTATTTGAATAAACAAAGTCGCGTTGACCTGTAGCTAATAAATCAATTATTGAGTAATAAATCTTAGATATATTATGCAGTATTTCAAGGTGAAAACTTAAAATAATTTCTACTACACAAGGTAATACTAAAATTAACGAGTTAAAATGTATTGCTGTACTAGTATACATCAGAATTTCCCAAACTATTTCCTCGAACTTCAAAACCTGTTAATATTAGATCTGACCGTGGGAGAGTAAGTTTCTAGACTCGTATGAATATTATGAAATGTGGAAAAGTTTACAAGGAACAATAGTTAAGTTCCTTGTAAAATACTGTGAATACAACAACATCTGGATTACAACTAATATTGAATTTCTTCACTAGGAAATCAGAAATGTTCCTTATTTATGAATTATGAAGTCCTATTTTTTCTCACGTTAATATAAACGACTCTTTTCATCTTATGTACCGCTGGAGACACTCTGGAACATTCTGAATCAATAACATCCGTTGTCTAATGGAGAGCTCATTATATTAATATGGATAATTAGTTTAGGACAAGCTACCGTTCTGTATTGAAGCAATGATTGTTTCTTCTTGAAGACCCACGATCAACTCCATTAAAACTTGTATGTATGAGTGCCGGTTGGGGGAAGGGGTGGGGGGGTGGGGTCTACTAATAAAGTTCATCCATAAGAAACGACCCATCTGTCTGATGCTAGTGTAAACATGATAGAATTCCTAGATTCATTCCTTACATTCTTAGTAGTGTTTTAATTATTTTCATCATTAATATAATGTATAACACATTAAAATGTCCTTTACAAATTTTTCCTAAATAAAATCTCTATTTCTCTCCGTACTTCATATTTCAATAAGTGTTCAGTAAGCCTGCCTCGTATTGACACGAAGGTGGTCTGTTTTTTGTGTGTCATTGAAACCTTTGTATAACATCTGTATTAGTCACGTGGCCGACAAAATCTCTATTATCTGCGGTCAAGGCCCGAAAAATCGATAGTCGCGAAAATTATACGGTCTCTGAGCCATAACAACCTTTATTAATGATAGTAATAAGGTATATATTATATTGTAATGATATTAGTTCTACTACGTGTGACCTGCGGACTTAACAGATCACGAAGAGACCTAGAGGACGAGCGTTCCATATCTTTGCCTTTTTAAATATTAATGATTTTTATATTAATTTCACGTTTTGCTTTTTTTAATGCTGACGTCACTATAGTAACAGATATTTTTTAAATTTGTGTTATTTTTAAAAGTTATGATTGCGTTAGATATGTAACAACTGACGACATTACTTAGTTTAGTTTAATATCAGTCCAACCGAACGAGAAACAAAATTTAAATTGTTCATATAATAGTAACGAACCGTTAACTGTTTCAATTGTGAAAATAAATTTACAAAGAATGGGTGAATAAAATCGTTAATTACCAAATTTTTTGGGTGACAACATGAAGTTTTGATAAGGAATGAAAATATTTAGTATATTCAAAGTAATATGAACATTATTTTCTGTTTCTGTTGTGTGTTTACTGTCAGTCTGTCCCGCGGGGTCAGTGACCGTCAATCAGTCCGTTTTCTATTTCATCTCGCAGACCTTCACCTACAAACTCGTCGCCGGCTCGAGGAAATCGAATTTCACGCTTGAACAGATCGACGTCTGGTGAAGTGATAATGAAATAGATTTCATGATACTGTTTATTAAGAAACTAAAAATACAGTCGCTTACCACTACATATAAAAATAATAAGGTTTACAATAATACATTGTTAAATAACTAAACCATCACGCGAGGAACTTACAGGAGGAGACTTGCTATGATAATAAATAATGATAAATATGGCGGGAGGTCGAGGGTGACGGCGGGTCACGCCGGTAGTTTGTTAGTGTTCCTCTTGAGGGAGGCGACCAGTGTGTCGGGAGTATCGACCTGCACGTTGCTGGCCCTCACGTATTTGTTCTGGTAGCCTGTCTCTCTAACCTTCGCGTGAGGACTCAGTCTGTCGGACCGCTCCACCTCGTCAGCCCGCTCGCTGTCTCCGGTCCTCTCTTCATCGTCTCCGGATCTCTCTTCGCTGTTAACTCTCTCTGATTCATCTTCTCTGTCTTCTTGAGTATCTTCCTCGTCGCTCTTGTTGTTATCATATTTAATCTTCTCCGGGTCGTCCTTCAACCGCTCGTGGTCATCCAGGAAGTGTTCCTCGTCATCTTCACCTTTCTCTAACCGCGCCAGGTCCGCGTCTTTTGTGGGAGGCGGTATCGTGAGTCCTCGGAAGAATTCTTCCTCCTCTGATATCGGTAACTTCTTCCCGTAGTAGTCGTAGTCTCCTGCTGAGTAAGCCTCGCTGGAGAGGGAACGAGCCCTTCTCTTATTTTTCCGTCTTCGTTTTCTTCTCGGAGGTTCTGTTTGTTCAACCTGTGAAGTGTCTTCCGTATCTGAGTCATAGTTATCTTCTGGTTCATCGGACGACTCTACAGCTGGTTCCTCTTCGTCTCTGTCTGGTCTCTCCGCTCGTCCGCGGTGTAATTTCTTGGGTCGCTTCTCTTTGTATATGGGGGGAACTCTCACCGTTACCGTATCGATCTGATTCGGGTTTTGTTCGGTCGGAGGCAACACTCGTGGTTTTAATGGCCGTCGAGGATCTTGTGTGGTTGTAGTTACTTCACCTTCTTCATCGTCATCATCTTCTTGAGGTGGTGGTGAAGGAATGCGATTAGCTTTCGGTTTTCTTTTTTGAAGCGTTTGCAGTTTCTCGTCGTTGAGTTGAATGATCTGATTCGCTAAATTCCGATCACCAAAGTGTACATTACGATAATCATTGGCAGGAAGTTTTCTATTTGGTTTTTGCTTCTGTTCCCAGAAACGATCAACGGCGGTTCCGAACTCTTTGACCGCTTTAGCGCGATCTCTAGACTCTTGAACATATTCGTCATCATCATCCTGGTTGTCCTGCTGTTGTTCATCATCGTAAATCAAATAGTCGTCATCGGCCTGGGCGTTGTTGAGGGTCTGAGCGTCCACAGTGTGAACTCTTTGTGGTACTCCATTGCGAACTACGAACGCATCCAAATAAACTCGAGGCTTACGTGGTGGATCTTGAGGCAACTTGGCCGCTCGTGGTTGTATCGCGACCGGTGCTATCTGCTCCTGTTCCTGATCCTCCTCTTGTTCATCAGCTGCGGCCGCTGGGGCCGCGACAGGTGCGGATGTAGCCGGAGCTCTGTTGAAATTAAAGTTGAGTCGGAAGTTAGAGGAGATGGTCTCCAGGTTTGAATCAGCCTTGGGTTGTGCTGGCGCCGGGGCTGGCGGGGTGCAGGGTGCTGGTGTTGAGGGGTTAGCTCGAGGTCGGGCACACGGCGGGGGCGGGGCGGGGGTCGTCGGTCTCGGGCGTGGCTTGGGCCGAGGTCTGGGGTTGGCTCGCGGTCTGGGACAAGGTGGCTGAGTCTGTTTGGGTGGCGGTGGAGGCGGCGGTGGGGCACACGGCGTCACAGCTCGTCCACAGGGCGCCGGAGATCCAGCCTGCGGCGCGGGTGCTGCTAGTACCGGTACTACTGCGACAGCTTGCAGCGGTCCATCGATACCGGGCACTGGAGCCAACGGCGGGGGAAAAACTATCTGGGGTGGTTTTCTAGCAACGTTATATCCTAGCACATCAGCCAGTCCTCGAAACACGATGTCGCCGAAGGTTCGTTTCTTCCGGACCACAGGCTCGTGCTCGTCCTGTGAGTCCGCGAGCGTGTCGTTCAGTCCCTCCAGCGCTACATAGTTAGCCTCGGCTATGGTCTCCTTGGCGGCGTGGCTGATGCTCCGTGTTTGGTTGTCGGTGTCGGCGATGACGAACACCTGTGCCGCCCGCGTGCCGCACGCCGTGAGCAGCACCGCGGGTAGCGTCAGCAGCAGCAGCGCGCGTGTCATGTCGCGGACCGTCTAGTGCCGCGCGGACCGCGAGCGCGCACTTTTGTCTCCGCGGTCGTTACTCAAGCTCCTCCACGCACCACCGCGCCCGCCTCCTACCTCGCCCGACCTCTTTCCCATTCTCTGACCGATCATAATCACTTCTTAAAATCTAATTAAACTCCAAATGTAATTCGACCAACTCCTTTGTATGACATTCGATTGAACAAAGCGTATTAAGAACTAAATTTGCAAACGAAGTTACGCCATAGTACCAGTAGTGCAATTTTCATTCTAAATAGTTTCCCAGTCACTAAGAAAGATCAATTGTTGTATTGATTAGACCGCAAATTGAGGTTGCTGAGTTTTTTTTCATGTAACACAACAAATGACAGAGTTGACGTCATGAAATTGAAATAACAATAAACAAATACTTTAACCAATTGAACAAGCGATCATATTTATACAACAAAATATTCATAAGTATAGGTTTATAGCCAAAGTTTGGCGAAATATTTTCAAGTAAACATTATTTAGCTCGAGCCAAAAATAATCTAATCTGGTTCAAAGAAATGTTAGTTTTGAACTGTATCAAAGTCATTGTAATCATAATAACATTTTATAGGTAGGTATAAATTTTCCCTAAAATCTTGCTCAAACGATCATGCCAAAGTGCTTTTTCTTAACAACAAGTAAATTTTTTTTGTTCTAATTTATTAATTACATATTAAGGCATAAATATTATTTATTTAAACATTTAAATTAAATGTTTCTTATTTTATGATCAGAAGCCATAGTTGTAGTTCGTTAATTTGTTACACTCGGTAAATTATAAAAACTGTTAGGTTTGTTGCAATTAATTTATAATAACTTGTGAAGGGAAACTTCAACATTACACTTGACCTCATAAACTGTCAAATTTGCCTTGTAATTTATTTATAAACCGGCTAAGGTTAAAGATATTATAATACGAACTACGGAATAATAATAAGAAGAACTAAAATATTTCAACTAAATTTTTATAAAATTTAATGTTTTCAATGTATGTCAAGCAACTACATCTCGAACATGGGCTGACTTGACCGGGGAAGTACCACCCTCTCACAGAAGATCGGCTTCAAGTAGTCTTACATGGCTGCCTTAAATCCGATGAGTGACAGAGCCGGTTGCCCTTTCCCCTCTAACATCTTTTCCTTCCCTATCATTTATCCCACCCTTTCCTCTACCTCTTGACCAAATAAGGGTGGCAACGCATCCGCAATATCTTTTGCGGAGGTCCATGGTTGACGGCACTATCTCCAACAGGTAGGCTGTCTGCTCTTTCGCCTCCCTTGTCATAAAAAAAATGATACTCAACAAAAAAATATGTCACCCTGATTACTTCATATCCTCGATCAAAAACAGATTCTATTAATTAAAATAAGCTTTTGAACCGTTCGACAGAGAACACCATGTAAATATAGTTCTCAAGAGACTTATTCTTAAGCCCTGGTCGAACAAGAAGAAAAGATGACAACTAAAACCTCACAAAAATAAAATTAAAAATGATTAGTTACAAATGCATCTTTCATGCTTAAATTATTAGGACTTTTGTCGATATAATCATTTGTATTCAAACATATATGTATCTCACCATTATTTAGTGACTGAGGCTAATGTCATTAAAATCTAGATAAGAAACCAAAAAATCTATGTAGAAGCCGTACACGAGTCAGCTAGACATGTCACGTTCACTAATACATGAACACCTTAAACATAACAACTAATTTGAACTTTAATCGAATAATTAAATTAAAATTTTATAACGCCTGTTAAAAATAATAAGCAAACTTTCAATTCTGCATCTTGGCTATTATTACTTCATATACCGCCATGTATATTGAAAAACCTTTTACATACTTTTATTTTGTGTTCGTGACAGTAAATTACCGATTAACCAATAATAGAAAGCAAATTATGAAGATACAATTTTAAATATATATATATGTATAAATACTTATCTAGAAATGATAATTTGTAAAATTATTTATGTGTCATATTAATTATGGTAATTTAAAAGTGGTAGAGCTTAGCTGTGGTCAGTTGCCACAGCTCGAACATGAGCTGGCTCGATTGGGAAGTACCACCCTCTCACAGAAGATCGGCGTGAAGTAATCTTTAATGGCTGCGTTTCGTCTGATGAGTGAGAGAGCCGGTTGCCCTTTCTCTATTCCCACCCTTTTCTACCATTATCTTATTCCCACCCAACAACCTAGTTCCCCAAAAACCAAGGTCGGCAATGCATCCGCAATATCTCTTATGTTGCCAATATGTTATATGAACGACGATGCCTACGTCCCATCACATAGGCCGTCTGCTCGTTTGCCATCTTACTCATTAAAAAAAATTAAATACAAAAGTCTGCCGTTCTTATTAACATGACAATCACGATGTTCCACTAGACTGGTCTTCACTGACATCTGTTATAAAGATATTTAATAATAATAATGATGAACGGACTCACGGAACACTGGATCAGTTCCGGTGAAGATGGGGCTGTAGGGTGACCAGGAGTTAGTGGGAGGATGTTCTTTGATATGTTTACTATAATTACGAAATAATCAGGTAAAGTGTAGTTGTAACTAATTCATTGATAAATATATTTTTTACAAATAAATATCTGTTTTCAATGAATACATCGTTTACGATATTATTTAACCCAGTCATATAACACACCTGAGTATTTAAAAGAAAATAATATTTTTCGGATATACTACGATTGTTTTATATTTTTGTAAAGAAATACATAATTCCTGGGGATATACGTATGTACATATATACTGGGGGACTATCTAGTTTTTTTTTAAAAAAAAACGCAAGCCTAGTATAACCGAAAACATGAGTTTCATTTAAATGAATTAAATTTGCGAAAATTTTAAATCAACATCTGAATATGTTTCCTAATATCTTTACTCCATCATCACAACTCCTGGTCACCACACTCGGGGCGACCTCTCCACCATCTGACGACTCACAGCTATACTCCCTCCTTCACTCGTCGTTACGTTCGACTGATTTTTACGTCATATTTTTCAAAAACTAGTTATACGGATATTATTAAGAAGGGACAACATGCGTAACAATCTGCTGCTCAATGAACGAATAAACGAATGATTTTATTTTAAAATTAGTTCGTCTTATCTGTATATAAATAAAGTTGGAGTGTCTATTTGTACCTAATATTGAAATATTTTTTTTACTACATGCATATGAGTACGGTATATACACCAAAACATAATTTGTTACAATTTAGTAATGGCTGGACCCATAGTGACGAAACTTTTTAATACGGAATAACTAAGGCTTTTTATCCCAATCCCGAAATTAAACGTTACCACGCCCGAGCGAGGGGCGAGGCGTATGCAGCGCTTAAAAGGTTTTTCATTGTTTTTTCGTTTTTAACGCGGACAGAGTCACGGGTAACAGCTATTATATTTCTTTTTACATTATTCCATAGAACACACAATGTGTATGTTTTAAATATCATTTTCAATACCTATTATTGTCAGTAGTATTAGTTTGTCTCCACATTCAGTAATCTCGTGTAGAGGATCTTCATCACGACCCTGAACGTGTTGGAGATTGTTTGTATTAAGATTCACACGAAATATAAACCGAGGCTGTAATTAATACAACACTTAAATACTATTTGGTTGTTTGAATGGAAGTCAAGTGTGGGAAGATCACGGCTGGCGGCTCGGCCAGGTGAAGAAAAGAATATCTTTCGTGTAATCGAATACTTCAGATAACTTTTATGAAAGATTTAGTTTGTTTAGGTTTAGTTCAGTTGATTTAGAAAAAAATAGGTGATAAAATTTATTATGAAACCTATATAATTGATAACAATTACAATAGGATTATACAATCCTTAACACACTTCAAATTTCAAAATGTGTTATATTAAAAAGTTATGATATATCTTCTTAAACTTGAAATTCATTGATTTATACAGGACAGTAGATCTGAAATTCTTGCAATAAAATATATACATATATTCTATATGTATCTCGCATCTTTAATAAATCCATCATCTGTAAAGTCTTTACGTCTCAATAACAACTTTTTTCTTTTCTTTCAATAAAAACTGTTTCCCGCCGCTACTAGCAGCCGGTGGAACAAATATTAATTTAATATGTTAAAGAAAAACAACGACCATATAATTATGATGTATGGATCGATTTTATCATTAACGTCAAAGAAATAAATCTATCAGACTCCACCGCTTCTGTTATTAAATACTAGTTTTTGTCCGCGACTTCGTCAGCACTAATTTCGGTATTAGTACCTAGTATATTTATAGATGACCGGGTAAAATCTATTCCGCCCTAGAGGTCATAAATAACCAGATATTGGAATTTATAAAGATTTTGCGAACAGAATTGAATATCCTATGTCCATCTCCTGGTTCTAAGCTATCTAATCACTAATTATCAACCATATCCCTATAGCCATTCTTGAGTTATAAATATTGTAACTCACACAACTTTTATATTTATAAAACCCTTTTGTTTTAACAGTGATTACTAATTAAAAAGAAATTTAAATAAGCATAAATATTGTTTCATTAAATTCTGTAAAGTATGTTACAAGAAGAAAGTACTGTAATTATATATATTAAGAGTGTTGTCAATTAATATCGTATAATTAATTAAGTACCGTATAATTATTTGAATAAACTTCACGAGTATGGTTACTACGAGTTTTCATAGCCACACTAAACTACATACATTTAACCTTACTCACTCATTAAACGTTCTTATTACTTAAAGATTGTGAAGATTTATGAATGAAAACTGTTAACGCTGCGTGTCACGTAGGTAGTACGAGGAGGCGGACTCGTGGTAATCACACCGAAGGAATTATACTTTATTAAACCTTTCTGTAATATATTTGTTTGTTGAATAAAACATAAAATATATGAAATATGCATTTATTAAAGTTAAAAGACACAAACAAACTGTTTAATAAGGGTTTACACCGTT